TAAAAAAAAAAAAAAAAAAAAAAAAAAAAAAAAAAAAAAAAAAAAAAAAAAAAATTGAATTTACCTTGATGTGGATGAATAATAAGTATAATTTGATATATTTTCATAAGTAATGAAAATGCGACATCAAATAATTCGAATTTAATTTCATTAGACCAAATATTTATTATAAAATTCATTATATTTAAATATAAACGTATATATGCTGATGATACTATTGTACCTACACCTCCACCACCTATACGATTTCCTAATAATAATCCTTTTGTTGCTGCTGTTGTTGTTGTTGTTGCTGTTGTTGTTGCTGTTGTTGTTGTTGCTGCTGTTGTTGATGATGGTGGTGGTGGGGAGGGTTGCTGTTGTTGGTGTTGGTGTTGTTGTTGGGTTGCGGTTGTTGTTAGGTCGGAAGAGGGATGTATAGTTATGCTAGATGCTGGGGATATATCATGCTGATGCTGTTGCTGCTGCTGATGCTGCTGCTGTTGCTGTTGCTGTTGCTGTTGCTGTTGCTGTTGCTGCAGTTGTTGCTGTAAATCTTGAAGTAACTCGACTGGGACATTATATTTAGCAGCAAGAGAAGAAAGAGGATTGTTGTCGGGATTAGAAGGGAGACGCAACACACCTTCTGCTGCTGTTGATGATACACCATGTGCAGCAGCAAATGCTGCTGTTGTTCCTCCTAATGGTGCTGCTGGTGCTGATGCAGATGTTGGTGCTGCTGCACCCACCTCCATTGTTCCAGCAGGTTATCATCAGCTTGCCCGTTTTAATAAGAGGGCAGCAGCGCTAAACAGCAGCTTATCAACTGTCTTGCTGCTGCTTATGCTGCTGCTGATGGTAATGCTTGTGCTGCTGATGGTTGTGCTGCTGCTGCATGCTAACAGCATCGGAAACAAGGGGTGTGGGGCCCCACGCTGTCCAAAGATAGGCAGCAAGCAAACGTCTTCGTCCTAAATAAGGAGAAAGACAGTCAGCTGCTTGCTGCTGTAACCTGCCGCTGCTGCTGCTGCTGCTGCAGTTCGAGGCCCCGATGAGGTCCTGCTGCCGCTGCTGCCGCTGCTGCTCTTACTGCCTGCCGATGAGGCATACGCTGCAGTGAGAAGAAGAAGATCTCTTCTTTTTCCCTTAAGAAATCATTTTCCTGTAGAGCCGCCCATGCTGCATGCATAGCAGCTGCAGCTGGAGAGGGGGGCCCCCTTGACGTGGGGGGCCCTCACGACAAGGGGGGCCTGCGCTGTAGGAACAGCAACAGCAGCAGGAAAGATTCCCCTCATGTATAAATAATTTATTATTATTAATTTCATTAATTAATATAATTAAAAATGTATTTATTACACCCTTACTGAAGGGCGTCACAGGCAGCTTGCTGCTGCCTGCTGCTGCATGAGCAGCAGCAGCAGCAGGAAAGACTGCTCTCCTAGCTTGACTGCTAGTACAGCAGCAACCCAAAAAAAACAGCAGCAGCAGCAGCAATAGCTTTAGCAGAAACAACTCGCAGCCGCCGTAGCACCAACAGTCGCAGCCAATAGTAACAGACAACAGCAGAAGCAATCGTTGCAGCAACCACAGTGGTAGCAGCAACAACCATAGCAGCAACAGCAACAACAATAGCAGCAGCAGCAGCAACTGTAGCGGCAGCAACAATAGTAGCAGTAGCAGCAACTGTAGCATCAAGAACAATAACAGCAACAGCAGCAACTGTAGCATCAAGAACAATAACAGCAACAGCAGCAACTGTAGCAGCAACAACAATAGCAGCAAGAAGCAAGAACAGTAGGGTCACAAATAAGAACAACAGCAGTAACAACAACAGCAGCGGCAATAACAATAGCAGCATTAGCAGCAGCAATAGCAGCGCTAGCAGAAACAGCAGCGCCAGCAGCAACAAAAACAGTAGCAGAAACAACCATTAAGAAGAAAAAAGACAAAAAGGAGCTTTGTTCTTCTTGCATGCAAACTGCATCAAATGTTGCTACAATGGTGCTGCTGCATGCAGTCCCAAACCCCCTTGTCTAAGGAGCAAAAATAGAGAGGGCCCCCACTGGGGGCCCCCTAGGGGGCCCCCAAGAGACCTCACAACAGCGCAGCTGCGGCAGCGCAACAAGGTATGCATGATACATGCTTCTTTGCCTGCTGCTGCTGCTGCAATTGCTGCTGCTGAAGCTTCTGGTGCTGCTGCAGCTGCTGCAGCAGCTGGTGCAGCAGCAGCACGCAGAGCTACCAAGATAAAGCAACATTCAAAAACGCCATTCAAAAGGCATGGCTGCAGCAGCTGCTGCTGTTGCAGCAGCTGTTGCTGCTGCAGTAGTTGTTATTATTACTGCTGTAGCTGTTGCTGCTGCAGTTGCAGCTGTTGCTGCTGCAGTAGTTGTTACTATTACTGCTGTTGGTATTGCTGCAGCAGCACAGGGTAGGCCTCCTAGTAGTAGCCATACCTTCCTGCACTACTATAGCAGGCCTCCGCTCCAGAAGCAGCAGCAGCAGCTGCTGCTGCTGCAGGAGCAGCAGGAAGAGGAGTGTGGGGTATTGATTTTTCCCTGAAGCTGCAAAGGCTTCCACTGCGCCAAACCCTTGCTGCTGGTGGCGGTGCTGCTGCTACAAGATTACTGCTGCTGTTGCTGCAGTAGGGGAGGGGATCTAACAACTGTCGTGGCATATAAGGGCTAAGATCTCTTGCTGCTTCAGCATGCGCTGCTGCTGCTGGTGCTGTCGGTGTCCCTTCCTGCATGTCAGGGACAGAAGGAGGAGTGTAAGAAGCGCTGCGTCTCTGGGCATTGCCCCACGAGCGCAACAACATCTGCTGTTGTTGCTGCTGCTGCTGCTGTTGGTACCCAGTGGGGGTGCAGTGAAGGGGGGCCCCTCCAACTCCCTGGCCGCCTCCGAAGGGCACTGCAGGGGCGCTAGGCATGAAGTTACCCTCTGGGTGGCCCCTCGGAAGCCTTGCTGCAGCAGCATATTCATCGAACTGTGGTTTGCTGCTGACTGGTGCTGCTGCTGCTGCTGCCCTCATGCTCTGCTCCTTACGGTAGGTGGATGACGGGGGATAGACCCACGAGGAGGCCCCCACTGCAGCACCTCCGGCAGCAGCAGCAAAAGGAGGAGAACTCTCAAACCCTAAGTCCATTTGCTGCTGTAGATTCGTGCTGCTGTCTGCTGCACGAGGATGTCTAGAGAGGGGGCCCCTAGGTAGGGGGGGAACCCCTGAAGGGGGGCCCCCGGGATGGGGGACCCCACGAGAGATGGTGGGAATGGGAGGGGCCCCCTGGTACTTAGGTCTAAGAGGAGGCAATCCTGCAGGTGAGGATAACCAAGGAGACACATCCTCAAGACTCCTGTGCTGCTGCTGCTGCTGCTGCTGCTGCCGGTGGTGGTGCGGCGGCAGCATATCTATATGCCTTAAGGCTGTGCCTGGAGGAATATCTCTGAAGGGCACAGATTGGCTCTCATGCTGCTGCTTCTGCTGCTGCAGATACTGCTGCTGCAGCTGCTGTTGCTGCAGCTGCTGCAGCTGTTGGTGGTGAGGTGCATAGGGCGGAGAGCATCCCAAAAGCGACGCGCTGCTGCCAACGTGCTGCTGCAAGGTATGCTTGTGCTGCTGCTGCTGCTGCTGCTGCTGGGGGTATTCGGTCCAAGAAGCAACTGTTCCTGTTGCTGTTGTGTTTTGAACCGTTTGCCACAACTCCGGTTGCTGCTGCTGTTGTTGCAGCTGATGCTGCAGTTGTTGCTGCATTTGCTGCTGTGGCAGCATTCGCTGTTGCTGCTGCTGCTGCTGCTGAAGCACCCAAGGGTCTGCTGCTGCCTCTGCAACAACATTGCTGCTGCAAGTGCTTGTCTTGGTGCTTGTACGAGTGGAGAAGGTGCCTGCTGAGTGTTCTCGCTGCAGCAGCAGCAGAAGCTGTTGTTGCTGCTGCAGTTGCTGCTGCCTCTCTAGGGAACCCTGTGAACGTCGAACTACACGGGGTAGAGACATACGCAGATTTGGGCTGCTGTTGTTGTGCTCGTGCTGCTGCTGTTGCTGCTGCTGTTGCTGCTGTTCCCATGAAGGTAAACCATGTGTGGTTTCCCAATGCGTTGGAGACTTCCAGCTGCTGCTTCTGTTGCTGCTGCTTCTGTTGCTGTTGATGCTGCTGCTGCTTCTGTTGTTACATATGTTGTTGCTGCTGCTGCTGCTGCCGGTCCCTTCATATGGCCGCAGCGGCACCAGGTGTGCTCCCTGCTGCTGCTGCTGCAGCTGACTGTTCGAGGGAGAAGCTTGCACAGACCTACTTTTAATTTCCTGTATGCATGCTGTTAGGTGCAGCCGCTGCTGCTCCAGCTCGCGGTGCTCCTGCAGCAGCTGCTGATGTAGCTGCTGCTGCCTGTACAGCTGAGCTGCTGTTGCTGATGTTTTGCTGGGATCAGCCAAGCCGTCTTCTGTAAGACTATCGAAGGATTGCTGCTGCTGCTGCTGCTGCTGCAGCAACAGCATCTCTTCCTCCTCCTCTTCCTTCCCTTCTGCTTCTTCTGTCAGGTCTTCTGCTGCTGCTGCTGCAGGTTCTGCAGTATCTGCAAATTCATCTGCTGCAGCTGCTGGCGCCGCTATTGCAGCAAGAGGGTCAGGGGAGACAACATCACTTGGCTGCTGTTGCTGTTGCTGTTGCTGTTGCTGTTGCTGCTGCTGTTGTTGCATAACGAGTTGTTCTGTAGTTATCTTGTGCTGCTGCTTTAGTCTTTCGTGCTCTGCCAATAGGCGCTCTATTTTAAGCTGCTGCGTCTCCAGCTGCTGCTGCTGCATTTGCTGCAGTAGTTGCTGTTGCAGCAAGTGATTGAGCAGCTTCTCAGATGCCACGGTGCTGTCTTCCTTGTATGGCTGCTGTTGCGGCTGCGGCTGCTGCTGCTGCTGCTGCTGCTGCTGTTGCGAATGCTGCTGCGGCTGCTGCTGTTGCTGCTGTTGCGGCTGCTGCTGCTGCTGCTGCTGCTGCGGCGGCGGCGGCGGCGGCTGCACGTTCGGTTTTTCAACATCGAATTGGCTTTCCAGTGGCTCCTCTTCTGTCTCTTGCTGCAGTTCTGGCTCAAGCTGCTCTGTTTGCTGCTGTTGTTGCAGCAGCTGCTCCTCCTCTTCCTTAACCTCTGGTTGTAGAATTTCCTCCTGCAGGCTTTGCTGTTGCTGCTCTTCCTGCTGCTGCATGTTGCTGCTGTTGCTGCTGCCTTCGAATGGGGGATACGCGGGCTCCAGTTCTTCTGTTATCACGCTACTAATCTCCTCCTCCTCTGGTGCTGCTGCTGCTGGCTTCGTTGTTGTTGCTGCTGCTGTTGCTTCCGTTGTTTCTGCTGCTGGTGCTATTGGGCGGCATCCAATGGACTCCTCTAGGGGTGAAACAGCAGCACCAGTGGCCGTGGCAGCAGTTGCTGCCGCAGCAGCTGCTGCAGCCGCAGCAGCAGCAGCTGCTGCTGCTCTAGGTGTGGTGGCCCGGTTGTCCTCGAACGTGTCGCAGCAACAGCAGAAGTCCTCATTGTTGCTTGCATTCTGCTGCTGCTGCTGATGTTGCTGCTTCTGCTGCTGCTGCTGCTGCTGCTGTTTTTCATCGCGTGCAGCAGCTGCAGCAGCAACAACTGCAGCAGCTGCAGCAGCAGCTGCTGCTGCTGCTGCAGTTGCAGCATTGTGTTCACCTCCAGCTGGCTGAGGCTCCCAGGAGTTTCTGTTGGTTATCTCGTGCTGCTGCAGATTTCTCCATATAGGGAAGGAGTCCCTTATGGACAACTCTTGCTGCTGCTGCTGTTGTTGTTGTGCAGCTGCAGCAAGGAGCATTCGCTGAGTCTGACTCGTAGGACTGGCCGGCACTGCTGTTGCTGCAGCGGCTGCAAGAGCTGCAGCAGCAGCTGCTGCTGCAGTGTCTAGACAGCCCGTGGGGAGTGTTCTCTCTCCGCATGCAGTGCATCTTTGGGGTGTCGGCTGCAGCAGCGGAGTACACTTAGTTCTGTCTTTATATTTAGGCAGCATAAACTGACTAGAGGGACAAGAAATAGAGCGACGCATGCCGCCTCCTGATGCTGCTGCTGCTGCTGCAGCAGCAGCAGGGCAGCATATTCGTTGAGGGTAGGGGTGTGCAGATAGTGCTGCAGCAGCTGCTGCTGCTGCTGTTTGTGTTGTTAATCCAGTTGCTGCTGCTCCTCCTTGAGTAGAGCAGCAAATCTCCGTTATTGTCTCTTCTTCTTCCTCCCCTTCATTATCACATCTCTTTTGTCTTTGCTGCTGCTGCTGATTTCTTCGTAGCTGCAGCTGCAGCTGCTTGTTGGTGCTGTTGCTACCACTGCTGCGTCCGCTGCTGCTGCTGCTGCCATTTTCCTGCAGCAAATCCCTTAATACCTTTGCTTCCTTCTTTAGTGTCTGCAGCAAACTCGGTGTATCCGTAAGCTGATTAGGCCTAGCAGAGAGACGAACAGCCTTTGCTCTTACTGCTAATCTTAATGTAGCAAGTGTCTCCTTTAGGCATAAAGAAGAAGGAGACACTGTGCATATAAATGTAGTAAAACAACCACCACCTAATGATTCTTGTAATAAACGTGTTAATGCAGATGAACGGAAGGAGACAGATGCGCCCTCCTGCATGCATGCACACATATAAATAAATAAATGTATAAATGAATATACGTAGGTATAAGCATGAATATTAAAATCCCTACTAACGGATAAACAGGTGATGGCTAGCTAACTAGATAGCGACCTAGCTAGACATACTTGCAGCAACATCAACAGCAGCAACATCAACAGCAGCAGAAGCAGGAGCAGCAGAAATATCTTACAGTATTAAGCTGTTGTATACAGAGAATAAGAGCAGACAAACTACGATTGATTGCGCCCATCTCCTCTAAATGTCCCCTCGCTAAATTCTTCATACTATCACAACGCTCATTACCTACAAACAAAAATAAATAACAATTGTTATAAGAAAAATAAGTATTTAGGGAAGGAAAGAAGGGTATTTATATAAGGAAAGGGAAGGGATATAATAATAATAATAATAATAATAATAATAATAATAATGTAAAAGGAAAAGGCAAAAGAAGAAAAAAAGGAAAAAGGAAGAAAAAAGAAGGAAAAAGGAAGAAAGAAGAAAATAAATAAATAAGAAAATATACCTGCTAGATCGATAAGATTAAGTCTTGCAGGTCTAAATAGAGTAGGAGCATCTCCTTTATTTCCTCCTTCTCCTGCTGCTCCTCCTTGCTGCTGCTGATTAAGTCTTAATTCAACCTGAAAAACTGCATGACTTCTGCTGCTGCTTGGATTTTTTTGTGTCGCTCGAAATGCTCGATAAAAAGTTCCACGTAATAATAAATGCAACAATTCTTCACTCGATTGGACCTCAAATAGTTGTAAACCCTAAAAAAAAAATAAATAAATAAATTAATTAATTAATTAAATTAAATAAATAAATTAAATAAATATAAATATATCAGAGGAAGGAAGACAGATAAAATGATATACAGAGGTAGGTAGAGAAATACAGAGAAATAAAAAGGGAAAAGCAAGATAGAGAAAAAGACAAAATGAAACCCTAAACCCTAAACCCTAAACCCTAAACCCTTTTACGTACCTGTACAACAGTGGCGGTTGGATTCGTTGGGCTCCTCACGATATTTAAAGGTGTTGCTTTTGCCATTGGATCCTTCGCAGCAAACAAAACACAAAAAAACGATCACCATTTGCTGCTGCTGCTGTTGTTGTTGCTGCTGCTTTGCTTATCTGACTGCTAATCCTATTTGCTGTCGGTCCTACTACTACAGCTGCTGCTGCACTTGCTGCTGCTGCTGCTGCACTTGCTGCTGCTGCTGCTGCAGCAATAGAAGCTTACGGCAAGTAGATCGACGAGTTTATCATTATAGACTTGAACATAAGAAGCATAAATCTTAACTTGTGAAGAACTCCCTTCTCCATAACGACTCCTTACTCTGCAGCAGACACAATACACTCATCTTTGCTGCTGCTGCTGCTGCTGCTGTTGCTTTGTTGTTGTTCGTGTTGCTACTGTTTTTGGTGGTGGTTTTGCTCCTGCTCTTGTTGCTGTCTGTGTAGTTGTTGCTCTGTTACTGTTATTTTCTTCTTGCTGCTATTGCTGCTGGTGCTGCTGCTGTAGCTGCTGTTGCTGCTGCTGCTCTTGCTGCTGCTGCTGCTGCTGCTTACAATTCTACGATCCTCTCGCATGCTCTTGGTATAATGCCACAAGATTGGGATTTAAGGAGGGCGGGGATTCGGCTGTAAGAAAACACACAAATACAATTTATACACCATCTAGGGTTTAGGGTTTAGGGTTTAGGGTTTATTATATTTATTATGTATTATGTATTATACATAATTTACACGTAATAATACATTATAACATATAATTACGTATAATATATCATTATATGTACATGATTATTTATACATTATATATTATACATAATAATACATTATATATTATTAATTATAAATTAAATAATAAAATAATAAATAATAAATAATACATGAATATTTTATCTTATCATTAATACACATTAACATAATTACTGTTAATAAATATTATATATAAAATAATAAAATAATAAACTAAATAATATAAACATATTATTTATTATAAATATAAATATAAATACAAATATAAATAATAAATATAAATATAAATGCAAACAATAAAGGTAATTAAATATAAATATAATTACAAACAATACAATACATATAAATATAAAAAATGAATAAAAACAATAAATATAAATATATAAATATATAAATATAATTAATTAAATAATTATAAATAAATAAATAAGTTAATTAAATAAATAAATAAATAAATAAATACTTACGTGGTAGCTTGTGCAAGTTTTTTTTGTATATGTTTAAGTTTGGTAAGATTATTATGCGGAGAATTGAATACTTTATTATAATTATAATTATTAATATTATTATTAATATTATTAATATTATTATTAATATTATTATTAATATTATTAATATTATTATTAATATTATTATAATCATAAGATGTACATTTATGTATAAAATCAGGACCTAGCATAGTATATGTTTTTCCTGTACCTGTTTGCCCATGAGTAAATATAGATACACTATATCCATTAAGTACATGTTGTATAGATTGCTCAATAGGTTGCCATATATTATATTGTGTACAATTAGGAGGAAATACACCATCTACATTAAATATATATTTATTTCCTTTCTTTATATCCTCTACTTTTATTCTTTTATTATTATTATTTAATGAATATACACAACAAGAAGAAGATAACTCATTTCCTTGTAAAGGACGGATACGTACATATGTACGGATACGACCACGGATACAAGGAGGAGAAGAAGGAGGAGGAGGAGGAGGGAGAGGAGGAGAAGAAGGAGGAGGAGAAGAAGAAGAAGAAGAAGAAGAAGGAGGAGAAGAAGAAGAAGAGGAAGAAGAAGAAGAAGAGGAAGAAGATGATGATGAATCCATAGATATATATTTATATTTATTTCTTCTATTTATATATTTTATTTATTTTATTTATTTATTTTATTTATTTATTTATTTATTTTATTTGTCTTGTTTTGTCTTGTTTTGTTTAGTAAGAGGGAGGAAGGAAGGAAGGTAGAGACAGGGAAAGGAAAGGAGACAGATAAAAGGAGACAGATATATATCTATATAGGATATATAGATATCTTTATCTGTCTCCTTTTATATACATATATCTCCTTATATATAAATATAAATATAAATATATATCTTATATAGAAAAAGACAGATAAGGAGACACCAAGAAGAGGAGACACAAGAAACAGAAGAGACAGTAAAGAAAAAAGAGATATATAAAGATGTATAAAAGGAGACAGTAATAGATTATATTAAGAGGGACACTTATAATATATAGGCAGAGGCACTCCTATAGGAGATAAGCCCGCCAAGACGTCTATAAACCCTAAACCCTAAACCCTAAACCCTCGATAGGGGTAACCCTCAGAGGAGGGCAACAAACACTAAAACAGTTGCTGTCTATAGGGAGAGACAACAACAAATTAAAACACTTTAATTGCGACAAAATCCTTTAAGAAGGAGATACTAAATAGCTGCTGCTGCTGCTGCTTGTTGCTGCTGCTGCTGCTGCTGTTGTTGCTGTTGCTGTTGCTGCTGCATAGAGACAGCAAAGATTGTATATACTAAGGAGAAGGTCCTGTCTTAAGAGACAGGAATGTAAGCAATTTATAAAAAAGAAGAAGAAGGGATATTCAGCAAAAGATCTCCCCTCGCCATCGAATGCTGCCGCTGCTGCTGCTCCTGCTGCTGATGCTGCTGCTCCTGCTGCTGATGCTCCTGCTGAGGAGCAGCAGCAATCCTTCAATATGTAAGACGGCAACACAAGGACAAGGGTGATTCTTCTTTCTTATTGTCAACAAACACCAACTAAATAATGCAGCAACAGCAGCTGCTGCTGCTGCTGCTCCTGCTGCAGCCAACCAGCTGCACTGCTGCCGACTCGCAGCAGCAGCAGCAGCAGCAGTCGGAGGCAGTCGATCGATATGGGCTTTCCTTCTTCCCTCCCTTACAGCCAAAAACGCTTCTCCTTCAGAGTTTGCATTCATAAATACATCTTTAAAACCTAAAGATACACCCGAATATGCGTAACTGCAGCAGCAGCAGCAACAGGAGCAGCAGCAACAGCAGCCGCCGTATCGGCGGTCTTGCCGCCTCGGTGAGCACAGAGCTGGCGGGTAGGCGGTAAGGAGGCTTCTGTTGTTTTACTTAAACTATTTATAAATAATAATAAATAAAAATATATAAAATATACAATAAATATAAACAATTTAAATAACTATTCCCTTTTTTCTCTCTTTTCTTTATATAGGGGGTGCAGGCCTCAACAACGAGCTGCCGACGAAAGTCATACACAGCACCGCTGCTGCGCTCCACTGGTCTGCTGCAGCTAAATGCCCTTTATTTGACTTTACTGAATTATACTTTCTTCTTTTTTATTTTTTGTCTATTTTTATTGTCTTTTGTGCTTTAATTTAATGTATTTTTACATTAAAAGACCCCCGTAGTTACCCGTTATAGCTATACACACACACACACCCTACAGATACACCGCCAACGACCGCCAACTACACCACTAGAAGATAAAGAAATGCTCATATTTATAGTTTACTATTTACTTATTTATGTATTTTAAACAAATGATGAATACACGAGGGTTTGCATGGGCTCATAGAAGGCACCAGGTGTATTAAACACCTGAATTCATTAAGTACAACAACTATAATAATATGGCACTGCCAATAAAAAGATAAAGAATACCCAAACAAATCCTCCTGCCTGTGGGTCCCCACAGGCAGCAAAAATATAAACATAAGTAAAGAGAGGGTTGCCAGTTACACTGCTGCTGTTGCTGCTGCTATTGCATCTGTTGCTGTTGCTACATCAGGTGCTGCTGCTGATATATCTGGTGCTGCCGCTGCACCAGCTGCAGCAGCAGCAGCTGCTGCTGCTGCTGCTACTGTGGGCCCTGGTGAGGGCGGCATATTTGCTTAGAGGAATCATTCAAGACAGCAGCAGCGAAGCTTCTTAGTACTCAGTCTGTATATAAGATGTAAGTACACCTGGAGATGTAGTTTAATGGCGGTTGTCGCCCTTCACTTCTTTCGTAGCTTCGGATATTTAATTGCCTTTTTCCTGCACAAATGAAAACAAATCACCCCGGATTTCTAGGGTTTAGGGTTTAGGGTTTAGGGTTTAGTGCTTAGGGTTTAGGGTTTAGGGTTTACGTACTTGACAGTTTTTCTCGCCTTGACTTTTTCGAGGTATTCTGTTAAAGTTAATTTTTTCTCTGGTCCATCATATTTCCTTTCATCTTCTCCAAATATTGCTTGAATCTCCTAAACACTCATTTAGGGTTTTGAGGGTTTAGGGTTTAGGGTTTTCGCATTAGGCTTTAGTAGTTGATAGACACCATATTAGAGTTAGAAGAAAATATTAGCCTCCCTAAACACCTCTTGCAAAGAACCCCAAGAGATTTTCCTCTAAAGCCCAGACCCTAAACCCTAAACAGCAAACCCTAAGCCCTAAACCCTCACTTGGTCTAGGAGCTCTCTTCCGAATCGAACGAAGAGGATTTGAAGGGTTTGCTCGACGCTGATTTCTCCCTTGAGGTCTTTATCGTACATGAGGAACTGCACAACGTGAAAGAAGTTGCGGGGCTCAAGCCCTGAAACAGCAGCAGCAGCAACAGCAGCAGCAACAGCAGCGACAGCAGCAGCAGCAACGGCAGCAACAACACCAGCAGCAGGTACAGCAGCAGCAGCACCAACAGCAACAACGAAAGCAAAAGTCACAAAGCGATCCACTTGCTCCTCCCCGCAGTACGTAGAACAGCAGCAGCAAAAGCAGCAGCAGGTACAACAGCAGCAGCAACAACAGCAGCAGCAGGTACAACAGCAGCAGCAGTAACAGGACTTCCTAGCAGGGCTCGCAACCCCAATAACCCCATTAGTTTGCAAGAGAGGCAAACCATATGGCTGTTGTTCGAAACAAATATTAACTAGGGTTTAGGGTTTAGGGTTTAGAGTTTTCTCGCCCGTAAGATCGCCCGTCCCCCTTTGATAGAGTGTTAAGAATTCCCCCCAACTTATAAACCCATCGAGGTCTTCGTCTACCTCCCATAGCATGACCTCCACTTCTTGCTGCAGCAACGGCAGCAGCAGCAACAGCAACAATAGCAGCAGTAACAAGAATTGCTGCAGTGTGGGGTTGTGCCCCAAAGAACTGCAAATACGGGTGGGAGACAGAGCCACTGCAGCAGCAGCGGCAGCCGCAGCACGCTGCTGCTGCTTCTCCTGCAGTGTTGAACAGTTGCTGCTGCTCAAGCGGTTCTGAAGCTGAATAAATGAGCTGCAACGCTCCTGCTGCGCAGCAGCAGCAGCAGCAGCAGCAGGCCCCGCGCTCCTGCTGCTGCTGCTGCTGCTGAACGCCCCATGTCTATTGGGTTTTCTCTGTTGTTGCATGTGCTGCTTCAGCCTTTATTAATGCCGAACAAAATGTCTCGATTAACGTCAACATTTATTAACTAAACAGCAGCAAACTGTAAGAACCTCCTAACCCTAAACCCTAAATCCTAAATCCTAAACCCTCGACCCTAGACGATCCAGTGACTCGTTGACCCCAAGCCTCGTCATTCCCAAGTATCGATCCCACGAGGCGATCCCGGGAGTCAATCCCATGAGACGATCCCAAGAGTCGATCAAAGGAATCGTTCCCGGGAGACGATCCTCCGCCGCCCGCTGCATGCAAAGGGGTAAAGTAGACTTGCCCGTGTTGCTTTATGGTGTAGACGAGTAAGGGTGGTAAGGATGTCATGAGGACTTAAGCGGCCGTCTCGGTCTGCATCTAATGCATGAAAGGCCCTCTTGAGTGCCTCTAACTCCACTTGGGTAGGGAGGTCAGGAGGGGGAGGGTTGCTGGTAGTGCTGCTAGGCATTCTCCTCTTCCCCTGCTGCTGTTCCTCCTCCTCCTCCTCCTGCAGCTGCTGCTGCTCCTGCTGCTTGTATTATTACTACTGCTACGCTTCAAAGAGCGGTTGCTATGCGGGTTGACGACGGAGCGCTACTTATAGATCACCTGAAGCCTCAAGACCCTTTGATACCTTTTAAAAACATTTTAATTTAATTTTTTATTTAAATTGAAACGTTAAAATAATTCGTTCTCTAGCCGTTATCTCTATGCAGCGCCGCCCTCGGGGCCCGCTGCGCTCGCAGCGGAGCAGCGGTTGGTGGGGGTCAGAGGGAGCCGTTTGAAGGATTTTCTTCGATAAATGCGATTAATTAATTCAAATTTAATTTAAAAAGAAGAAATTACGCATTTAACGGTTATTTATTGATGGTTTATTAACGGTTTGCACCGGCAGCCACCGCTGCGGCTACCGCTGCTCGCGCTGCTGCATGTTAGCATTTGCGGACACCGCAGTATAGAGGCTTTTCCATGAATGAATGCAAGCATGCAAACAGAAAATGTCACTATAATTAGGGCTTTTCAATGCTGCTACACAACCGGCTCATGAATAGTCAATGTGTACACGAAAGCAAGGGCGGCCCCACACCTAAGGTCACCTCCTTCTGTCTCCTCCCGAGCACACAAGAGTTCCCTCATACAACACAAGAGAAGAAGGTGGGGTTGTTGTGTTCTTCTCCCTATGCGGACAAACAACCCCTCCCTAAAGTCAATAAAACGGCAACTCGCTCCCCTGCTTGCTGCCTGCTGACAGGCACTCGCCCCCCTCCTGCAGCAGCAGCAGCCGCAGCAGGAGAGGCGGCTGCCAGCTGCTTATAAATAGGCACACTTTTGCAGACATTTCGCATAGCGTCAAAGTGCCTGCTTCAGGTGGCCGCCGCCTATCCGGGCAGAGGACATCCCTCGGCAACTAGCTAGACATACAGTTAGCTAAATCGATAGATAGATAGAAAACTAGATAGCTGTCCAACTAGCTAGCTACCCAAGTAACTAGCAGGCTAGCTAGCTGCCTGTTGTTGCTGTCGCTAGATGTTAGGCCAACATACACCCCAAACGCTAATGTTACGCTGTGCCCATTGAGGCGTACAGGCAGCACGCTGCGTCGCTGCTGCGTTGCTGCTACGTTGCGCATATGCAGCTGCTGTTTCTGCTCCTGCGTTGCTCTTACGTTGCTGTTGTGCTGCTGCTGTAGTGCTGTTGTAGCGCTGTTCTGCTGTTGTGCTGCTGCTCCCTAAAGCCTTCTAAAAGCAATTTGATTCTTTAACTTAATCAACCAAAATATAAAAAAAAAAAAGCAGCAACGCTGCATCTGCTGCTGCAGCTGCTGCTGCTGTTACTGCAGTCGTGCTTCTGCTGCTACATCTGCTGCTCCTGCTGCTGTTGTGGTTGTCCCTGCTGCTGTTGCTGTTGCTGCTGTTGTTGTTCCCCGTTTAATTCCTTAAAACGCAGCAGCAGCTCCTGTCTCCATTTCTGTAGCTCCTCTACTTTTGCTGCTAGGTGCCTATACACCTGAATCTCTTCAACAAACTCTAGCAACAAACGCGATGCTTCGAGTCTTATATACAATCCCCGACATACACCGGCAGCAGATGCTGAATATTCTGCTGCTGCTGCTGCTGCTGCTGCATCATCTGCGGCTGCTGCTTGTGTACCATCTGCTGCTGCTACCTGTGTGTCATCTGTTGTTCCTGTTGCTGCCGCTGCTGTACCCTCTGCTGCTGCCGCTGCTGTATCCCATGCTGCTGCCTCCGCTGTACCCTCTGCTGGTGCTGCTGCTGCATCCTCTGCTGCTGCCGCTGCATCCTCTGCTGCTGCCGAGAGAGCTTCTGCCTCCGGCCCAGTTGTTACCGCTGGTGCTGCTGCTGTCCCCCTGGCTGCTGTTGCTACTTTCCGCTCTGCTGCTGCTGCAACAGTTGCCGTCTCCCCCTTGCCTGTGGCTGCCAGCTTTGTCTCCTTCAGACAGCACGGCGCACTTAGTGCTGCCGCTGTTTCTGCTCCTGCTGGTCCTGCTGCTCTTGCTGCCGTTGCTTCTGCTGCTGCAGATTGGGGTGCTGCGCGAGCACTGTCTACTGACCTTCGGGTTTCCCCATCAAAGTGTCTGTTGCTTTTGCTTCTGCAGGCAACTTCGTCTGCAGGTTTCCCTTCCGCAGCAGCAGCAGCAAGCTGCTGCGCAGACAACGAGAGCAGCATTTCTGCACGCTCGAGGACAAGGTTACAAACAAGGACCTCAGCTTCTTGTGGCCCTGTGAGAGAACCCCTCTTATGTCTGCTGCTGCTGCTGCTGTTGCTTCTACGTGCAGCAAGAGATCCCCCGAGGGACGTAAATCCTCCGGGAAGCACGTTTGCTGCAGCAGCACAATACTGGCAGCAGCAGCAGCAACCTGCCCGTGCAGTCTGCTGCAGCAACAGTTCCCCATCCGAATCCTCCTGCAGAAGCTGTTGGTTCCAGGGGCCCCCAGGGGGCCCCCAGACACCTCCAGGTCGAAGGGTCTCCTGTCCTCTTATGGCTGGGTGCTGTTGCTGCTGCTGCCGCCGCCGCTCCCTCTGCTGGTGCGTGTACAGCAGTAGCAGCAACTTGCGGTCCGCCGGCCGCGGCGGCAGCGGCGGAAGCAGCAGAGGAGGGGGGAAGACAGCAGCAGCAGCTGCTGCTGCTGCTGATACATTTGGTGTTGCTCGCTGAAACCCACAGACACTCCGCATAAGAATCAGCAGCCCAATACAGCGAGCAAGCCTGCAGCAGAAGTACCACCAGCAGCACCTACGACAGCAACAGCAGCAGCAACAGCAGCAGGAGGAAATGCACCTTGGTATTGCAGAGGTCGAGGCACCATCGGGCCAGCAGCAAACCCGAACGAAAGACAATGCGGCATGCAAGCTCCGCTGCAGCAAATAGCAAGACACCCAGCAGCAGCTGCTGCAGCAAACACCTTTAAGAAAAGACAACTGCCGCTGCTGCAGCTGCTTCTCTCCACAGACTGTGGAGCTAAAGAGGCATGTAGCGGGCATTCGCGTAAACTCTGCTGCGCATGATAGTGCTGCTGCAGCAGCACGTCCTGAAGCAACTGCAGCAGCAGCAGGCGCAGCAGCGGCTGCTGCTGCTACTGCTGATGGTGAGATCCGATTACGACTTACCGTGTAGGTCTGCTGCAAGCCAGCGGGACTTCTCTGTGCGGGCCAAAGCCTCCAACGCGATCCTTGCTGCAGCTTCTGCAAGACAACGCGCTTTCTGCTGCAGCAGCAGCTGCTGCTGCTGCTGTCGCTTCTGCTTCTGTTGCTGCTGCTTCTGCTGTAGCAGCTGGTGCTGGTGCTGGTGCTGCTGCTCAGTGGGGTACGTCTGCTGCTGTTGCAAAAAGGCGAGTAGAGCGCCGCGGTGGTGGGCAGCAGCTTCGGCAGCAACAGCAGCAGCAACTCTCAGCAGCTCTGCAGCAAGCAGTAGCAAATCTCCCTCTAATGCAGCAGCTCCCCCTTCCCCCGCCCATTTAGCTGCGCGGTTCCATAGCTCACTCCATTCTGCGTCATCATCACTGCTCCTGCTGCTGCTGCTGCAGTTGCTCGGAGTGTGTGGGGTGTATGGGCCTCGCAAGGGGGGGCCCCTAACGCAGCAGCTGCCTTGGGCTATTGGGCCCCCCCCATCAGAGTCTTCTGCAGCAGGGGCAGCACTTGCTGCTGCAGTCGAACCATGCCCCTCCGTTCCTGCTGCCTCTAGGGAGGCAGCAGCAGCAGCAGCAGCAGCAGCAGCAGCAGTAGCAACAGCTGCAGGAGTAGTAGCAGCAGCACCGCTTGTTGCTGCTGCTGCAGCAGGTGCCTCCTGTGGCTTGGGGGTGGGTCTTGAATAAAAGGGAGGAATTGCAGTCTCTCCTTTTAAGCCTTGTTGCTGCTCTGGTGTTATTTCTACCGTTGCTGCTGTTCTTGCTCTTGCTGCTGCAGCTGCTGCAGCAGCAGCAGCTGCTGCTGCTGCTAAAGAGGGTGCTGCTGCCTCATGCAACACTGAAGGGGCCCCAATAGAGGGGCCCCCCGCGTAGAAGCCAGGGGGCAGCAAAGCAGCAGAAGACCGCAGCAGCCGCCGCAGCCACATAAAACTCAACTGGGAATTGTTGCTGCTGTCGATGCTGCTGCTGCTCCTGCTGCTGAGGACTCCCGTGTCTATGCTACTCGTGTTGCTGCTGCTGCTGCTGCTTCTGCTGCTGGGGCTGGCAAGACGCCCTGTTAAGAAGCTCACACCCTGCGGCGTGCTGCTCCTCCTTAGGTCCTGGTCAATCCAGCGTCTTTGCTGAGGCCGGTTCTGCTGCTGTTGCCGTTGCTGCTGTTGTTGCCGTTGTTGCTGCTCCTGCTGTTGCAGCTGCAGCTGGTGCTGTTGGTGCTGCTGCTGTTGCTGCTGTGAGTCATCTGAAAGAAAGTAGTAGGTCTCTGTTGTGTGTCCGCTGGTGTCTTCGCTAGGGCTGTCGTTGCTGCTGTTCCTGCTGCTGCTGCTTCTGTTGCTGCTGGCTACTCTTCCGTCTAATCCCCACCAGCTAATTCCCCCGTCTCGTAAAGAGGAGGCAGCAGCCGCTTCCGTTGCTGCTGCTGCCGTTGCTGTTGTTCTTGCTGCTGCTGCTGCTGTCCGTCTTGCTGTTTCTTCTGTAGGAAAGGCTGCTGCTGGCAGCAGGGAAGACAGCAGACGGGGGGGGCTGTCTGGCTCCAACAGCAGTCTCTCAGCGGCAACAGCAGCAGGAGCAGCAGGAGCAGACGCCTGTCTTAACTCTTGGGTGTTCGATAGGGACCGTGGGGGGACTCTTGAGGAGACAGCAGCTTCTCCGCTACTTCCTCCCTGCACTTGCAGCCGCCACCTGCTGTTGGTGCTGCTGCTGCTGCTGTTGCTGCTGCTGCTGCTGTCGTCCCTTTCAAGCGACGGGCTCGATGTGGCGCCTCGCGGACTGGTGCTGCTTTCAGAGCTTTGCTGCGGGTGCTGTTGCCGCTGGTGCTGTTGCTGCTGCTGCTGTTGCTGCTGCTGCTGCTGTTGATGCTTATCTGCGATCCCCACGAGCCTCGTAATCTGTGTGTCTCCTTTTATCTCTAAGAGGCGCTGCAGCAGCTGCATGCAAGGAGACAGCCCCACACCTTGAAGGGGGGGTTGAGCAGCGCCTGCTGCTGCAGGCTGCTCTGATGCCTTCTCTCCTTCCGGGAGCCCCTCATTCATAGCCAACAGAAGCATATAAACCCTAAACCCAAAAGCTAAACCCTAGGTTCCCCCTTAAACCACATTTCAAGCCCATGCGGCTCATGCACAAACAGCAGCAGTTGCTGCTGCTGCAGCTAATGCGCTTGCTGCGACAGGTGTAAGGGAATGCTGTCGGGGTACTTGTGCTGCTGCTGCTATACCACTTGCAGGAGTAGCAGCAGCAGCAGCAGCTGCTGCTGCGGCTGTTGCTCCTCCTCCTCCTCTTGCTGTGAGAGGAGATTCCGTTGTAAAAGCCCGTTCCCACCTCTACCTTTGGTAGGCCACCTCCATAAACCCTCAAAAGCCTCTGCTGCTGCTGCTGCTGCAGCTGTTGCTGATGCTGTCGTTGCTGCTGTTGCTGAGGATCGAGTGTGCTACAGGAAGATTTGCTGCTGCTACTGTTTCCGACAGGCTACAGACGTCTCCAGGCCTGGATAAGAAGGAAGTGTGGCTGCCACAAGTCTAGGGGCTGCTGCTGCTGATGCCGTTGCTGATGTTGCTGCTGTTGTTGTTGCTGCTGCGGCGGCGGCGAGCCGCCTGCTGCTGTTTGGGTTTGAGCCCTCAGGCAGCCGCAGTGCCGTCTCAATGACAAGAGAGTTACCAGTCTACAGCAGTCCTTTTGCTGCTGCTGCTTGTGCTGCTGCTTTTTTGTTGTTGTTGCTGCTGGTGGTGGTCTCGTGTCGCTGGACAGATTCGGCGGCAGCAGCCGCGTCAGTCGAGTGGTGCTGCTGTTTTCCAGGTAATCTGTAGGGGAATAAGAATGAATAAAAAGGCTAAAAAGCAAATCTCAGTAGCAAAAATAAGGTGTGCAGACACTTAAACACGAGCTGCTGTAGTGAAGAGTCAGCGCAGCTCGGCAAGGGTCCACTGCACTGTATGCGAAGCAGCACACCAAACCCTTTACCCTAAGCCCTAAACCCTAAACCATAATTCATACCTATATATTCAAAACTCTGAATTCATAAAGATAAATCTTCCTCCTCCTCGATAACTTATAACTGCCCCTGTCTTTGCGCCGTTTACCCGCGCCACAGGGCACTGTGGGGCCCCCAGCAGCGCGAGGTGTTGTTGTTGCTGCTGCTGCTGTTGTTGCAAATGTTTTAACTGAGGAAGTCCTTTATTGGGTTTTTGTTATCTATGGGGATCTGAAGTGCTTCCACACTTCGAAGGAAGATGAGCTGGTAGGCAGACACCTCCCAGCAGCATCAGCTGCTGCTGCTGTTGCTGCATTAACCGCCGCAGCAGTAGCAGCAACATCAGGAAGCAACAGCAGCAGCTCTGACTGCAGCTACAGCAGCAGCAGAAGCGGATGCGTATGCGCTCTGCCGGTGTGGTACAGCCGAATATCCCAAGCTAGAGCACATCAGGAGCAGCCACCAGAGCAGCAGCAACAGCAGCAGCAACAACAGCAACAATAGCAACAGCAGGAGCACCAGTATTCATGTTTGTATCTTTGTTGTCTTTAGGCTCTTCGGCAGTTCTTCTGCCCCCCAGGAGTCGCCAGCAGCGGAGAAGGGTTTGCCTGATCTGCCCCCAGGCCTCCAATCGCTACCTCCCCGTAGGACTTCAACAGCAGCAGTGGCAAAAAAAGTAGCAACAGCAGCAACAGCAGCAGTAGAAGTAGCAGTGGCAGCAGGTGTTGCTGCGAATGCAGTTGATTCTACAGAAGCAAGAACGAACTCAAAGGAATACGAGGCAACCTCGCAGCTGCTGCCCTGAGTGTTTAGGGTTTAGGGTTTATGGGTGCGTGTTGTGCTGCAGCACCTCCTCCTAGGGGATCGTCGATCCCATCAAAACCCTTCTCTGGTTTCTCCGATCCTCCCCCTGCTTCCTTTGTCTCTTCTTCTTCTGCTGCTGCCCCACAAAGAACCCCTGGTGTCTCCTTTTCCTTTGCTGCCCCTACAAAGGAGACAGATTACAATGCTGAGGATTTGTCCAAGTATACGTGCGTCCCATACGATTGCAGCTGCTGTTGCTGCTGCTGCTGCTGTGTATGCTGCTGACTCTTGGGCTTGTGTTGCAGTATTTGCTGCTGTATTGTTTGTCCGTGCTGATCCGGTTCCTGCATGCTGCCTCTACCACTACTACTACTACTACCACCACCACCACCATCACTGCTACTGCTGCTGCTGCTGCTGCTGCTGCAGGTCTCCTTACACTGAGAGTTCGGGTATAAGGGACGCGGAGTATGCAGCAGATTATATAAATAATAAAGAAGAGAAATCTTCTTTTTTAGACAGACACATTACTAATCCAAGACTACGCGGGTGTATAGACGGTGTTAAGATGGGCATGAAGATGGTCTGCTGCTGCTGCTGCTGCTGCATCTGCTGCTGCCTCTGCTGCTGTCTCCTTTTGTGTCTCCAGTGCTGTATCCGCTGCTGTCTCTGCTTCCGTCTCCTCACTCTACCTTTTACTTTCTTTTACTGTCTCTCTGCCTTCGTCTTTGCCTCCTTTGTCTCTTTTTTTGTGTTTTTCTTTGTTGCATCTGCCTCCCTTTTAGTGCTTACTTTTGTCTCCTGTTGCATATCTGTCTCCCCCTCTATCACCTCTGTCTTCTCTGTCCGCTTTGTCTCTTTTGTTGTTTCCTGTCCCTCCTCTCCATGTTTATTTGTCCCCTCTTATTTGTCTTGTGTTGGAAAATAAAGGGAGACACAAAACAAACGCACGGAGACGGAATATAAATGGAGACACAAAACAATATCCTCTTATCCATTGCCGCCTTTTCTGTGTCTGCTACATTTTTGTTTCCTTTTCTCCTTCCCCCTTCCCCAGGTCTGTTTTCGTTGCTTTTTTTTGTCTCATTTTCTCGTGTCTCGTGCCTCCTCTCATTCCTTTTCCCATTGTCTACTCATTCGCCTCCTGTCTGTTTTCCGTCTACTCCTCCTTATTTTTTCTTGCTGTCTCCTTTCCCTGTCTCATTTAGGGCTGCGCTGTCGGAGGTATCTTTGGGGGTATCACGGGGACATACGCGGCTATCACCAACAGAAACCTCCTCATTCTCCCCTTCTCTATGGTAATAACCCTAAACCCTAAACCCTAGCAGATACCTGCACTCTAAGCCCCTAGGCAAAGCCTCACAAACCCTCCCTTCAAGCCCTAACTCCCGGCAGAGTCAGCATCAGCTACAGCAACCTCCGCAGCAATAGCAGCAGCAACAACAACAGAAGCAGCAGCAGCAGCAAGGATGTGCTGCACGAAGGCTACAACCCCACCACTGAACACCACCACTGATTGCATGCAGACGCAATGAGGTGTCTGCATGCAGGACAGCATAATCTATTTAAATGAAAGTCAACATATTCATCTATTGTGTTACGCCTGCAGATTGGCGGCGCTCTCTCCTTCGGCTTCTTCTTAGGTTGTGGTATGATCATCCGCTGTCAAGAACCCAAACTCTCTCCCTCTAGGGGCCCCAGGGCCCCGGGGTGGGCCCGGGACTCTTGGGCAACTCGCAGTTTCTTGTTCGCGCCATCCCCAAGTTGTGGAGGGCTTGCATCCGCGTACTCTACCCCCCCATTGGTGACTCCTGTCTGCGCTAGGAACGGAGACAGGGAAACACAGCTCTAGCATGCGGTCTGTTGCATGCATAATGCATAATCGATTGACTGTCTATTTTTTCTTCAAAATTGCCGCTCAAAAATCTGTGATAGCTTTGTTACAATTCCTGCTGCTAATTAGCCGAGAAACAGGTGCTAGAAAGACGCATGCACCCCCGGGACTGTATGCATAGCCTTCGGGTGGCCAGCTGGCATTAGCAGCGGTAGCAGCTGCTGCTGGGGCTGATGCATGCTCAGACGCTTTTAGGGGAGTCACACCTAAGAGGAGGTTTTGGCGAAAGGACCATGAGAATAGGGCAAGGGCTAGACAGAAAAGCCCAGAGCTGTGGAGCGTGTGGCAAGACAACGGTTTTTGCGGCATGCGCTCGTTAGAAGAAGTTAGATTATTTATGCGAGCCGGCGAGTACTTTTGTTCCCTCTACCTGTTCACTCTGAATTATTGATAGGAAAGGAAGAGGAGAGGCAAACGGGAAGAAAAGTTCGTTCTCCGCACACAGATATACAACCTTCGTGTTTGTCAAGAGCTGCAAGAAGCTGTTGCTAGTGTTTCCTTGCGCTTACAGAAGGCGCTTAACAATTGCCTATAGGATTACTGTATGCCTCCTGTGGGACTCTGAGTGTGGGTACATGAGTGGTTGCAACTGAGGGGTAAATTAGTGTACTTGGTGCGTAAAAACGACGGACCGTCGCGAGGTGTAGGCGTCAAAATAGTGTTTCCCCCTCCAATATGTCAAATTATTCCTAAGATTGAGCTTTACACTCATTTTTAGTACAGTATCTTCCTGTGCACAGCGGCAAGATAGCTGTGGGGTGATAATACGGAGAAGAGGCAAAAATAGGTCTTGTATGGAGTTGTATATTGCTGCAAATCTTGTTGCAACCAAGCCAACAGCATTAGAATCAATTAAATGCATGCAATGACGCATTATACATTCTTAAAACACTTCCTTGGACCTCAATTTACAATCTGTATACAATCGGAAACATGCATTATGCCAACTTTAGACAGAGCATGCTACATAGGCCCTGGTCAATCCTAAGTCGGCAGGCACACCAGTAGTAACGAGGCGAAGGAGGGGCTCTGAGAGAGCATGGGGGGCATCTGATGGGGAACTCTTTGTTGAATTGTTTTTGAACATCTTATTATCGATGGCCGGCTGCATTGTTTGACCGCTCTGTTCTTGTTACCCCGTATAATGGAGGTAACCGACTGGGGGAACACTAGGTGAGGCCGTCCCAATATTCAGGCTAGCAAACTTCGTGACATCCACGCAGTCTTTTTCACTAAAGTTTTAATAAATTCATTTAGAAAGACAGAAAACAAGCTGCCTTGCAGCGGATCAACAATATCGTGTCTAAGAGGCGCCGCGCACCGATGGTGTCCAGTTAAAGGGACGAACAAAAACAGCATGTAACAAATCAAATATGGGTAGACCAATGCAAAATATGTTAGGAAGAACACAACACAGCCCATCCCATAGTGCTTTGCACCATTCTCCTGTACTAGCCAATAATTGCCACGAAGACCTCGTTGCGCCCTAAGTGGCAACATGAACCGCCGCCTTCTTGCCCGTCCAGCGGCATATTTCATGAGCTCATTAGCATCAATAATTAAATAGGAGCCATTGCTTTATAACCAATCAAAGATTATTGTCATTATTGTCATTATTGTCTACCTTTGATTAGAAGAGCTGCGCTGTTGGCGCGAGCCACGAGCCTGTAGGGCATGCAGCTTACGGCGTCCCCCGGCGACAGGCAGACCAGATCACGTCACTATTACACTCAACTTCCTTTTGAATTTGTTGTGCCACCTATGTCTTTTAAAACTCCTCCCTTTATTGAATGTTGGCAACCTTTAGGCAGAAATGGGGTCTCGCGAATTTCTCTACGCTACTGGTGTAGTCCTGCTGCTTTTAGGAAGGGCCCCAGTGCCCACACAAGCTGCTTCTGGCCAACCTCCCTCTTATTCCCAAGTCCTTGGTGAGCTTCTAATTTCGTCGTCTTTGTGTTGTAAAAACCGTTGACGCTCTTCAGCGGATATGGGTGATGCTTCTTTGGCGAGGTCACCGGTCTCGGCACCAAGGTCCATGATCTAGTTACGTCGGTGGCACTGTGAATTGGGCTGTAAATTGTGAGTGTTACAAGCATATGGTGCATCTTAATGATTCAGGTGACACGGGAGCATGCCTTCCCGAAATAAACAAGGCCCGCGAGCTCGCTGGCCTCACCAGCTTCGCTCAGGCGACAGCGACGGATGGTGGCCAACTTCCTCTCGATAGTGCATATCAGCTTTGGAGGATCCCATGTGACCCTTTGGTGCCAGTGGGTCCCACAGCTGTGTCCTGTACTCTCCCTTTCAGCTCGATGTATGACTCCCAAGTACAACTCCTGGAAATGGCACTCCATGTTTCTGTTTTGCTACAGGCTGAAGAACAGTTCAAGGGTTCTAATGAGTTGTTATACAAAACCGCGTTTGCCGCTTTCGAGGTGTCCCCGGATACTCCCAATTGCACCGAAGCAGTCGACCACTGGAACGCTGCTTTTACGAATTTCCAAGAGTATGTTCTGCCCCCACCCAACGACATGAGCACGAAGTTGTACAGCAACCGAGACAACATCTCGTTCGTTGCCGTGTATAACCCTGCGAAGACCGCAACCGCGGATTGCCGTGTGTTCACGTGCACACGAACTACTCCCGCGTCTTCTGTGGCCGGCGATAGCAACTCCAACCCTGCTAAAACCGAGGACAGCTCGAGCAGCCTGATATGCTTGACGACACCGGATATACTGACCCTCAACGGCCCGGCCCCTTTTACGTACGTTTACATTCTTAAGCGGTATGCAGGTGAACAGCCAGAGGGGCCTCGCAGCAAACTTGTGAACAGGATGTTGCAAATTTTGCTTATCGTTGGTGCGCAGGCAAGAAGAATGGGAAAAAATAAAAGCCGCCTTCGCTCGAGCCGGGTCTGCCGGGAAAACCATGTTTAACGAAATACTCATTGCAGCAACGATTCTTCTCGGCCTAGTGGCTTCATGGTGAGAATCGTCACCAACCAACCAACACCCAAAGCTACGGGTGGAACTCCGACGACACAAGATTCAGCTCCTTGATCATGCCGCTACTCGGTGGTGTCTCCACAGCAGCACCCACGTCTGACTGCACTACACTGCTTTTGAGAATTCTTTCCAGTGTGGGCCTTTGGGCGCGTCCCCTGAACCAGTTTGTTTAGGGGGGGCTCTGTTTTACAGGAAGGCTACACCCGTCTTGGCAAGGGCCAGTTACGTGAAAATGTTGTTGCTTTTGCCCCTTGGGTTCTGTATTTTAGTAACTTTAGCTGCTTCTGTAGTGGGGGAGGGTGTTTATATCTTTAATGAAGGGGGAGAAAAGGACAACTGACGCACAACTGGGATGCCTGACTTTCAATTTAAAGCGTTTTTATTATGTTGCGAAATTTAATCGGCAGTCGTCAGCCTGTGCTGACCAGGCAATCGCTGAGCATTCAAAGGTCTTCCCATTGGGTAGAGGGAGGACTAAATTGCTTCCTTTCTCCCGTAGCAGAAGCCAACAGATCGCCAAAGTCCATTTTGTGGGCAATCACGCCTACAATTTGACTGTTAAATTCGACAAATAGTTGAAGGCCTGCGGCACTTCGGAGACTTAAGGCATCTAAGTGTCCTTCGCCACTATTTTTTATTCCTCTGACTCATTAGGAATCTTTAACTCGAGTCAATTATTATGTGAGCTGGAGTCTGAAGGGCGTCTCTTCACCTCTCGACAAGAGTAGAGCAGTGCCTCAGACAGCTAGAGTCAATTGTTGTAAGTCCATTGATCATTTTGGTTCTAAATTCTATGTTACCCCATATTTGGGATAAACAAATATCCGGTGCGCTCTAGAGTTTGCGTGAGGTAGTGAACTAAGAATGAGTATTCAATTTTTTCGTCCTTTCCTGCCTTCGGTCCTCCCGTCTCGAGAGTGGTCGAGGGGATGGGAAGAACATTTTGGCCTGGAGGCGCAGTCTTTGCGCCAGTTCGACCAAATCTGATGTGCATATTAATTCTCCTTGTTAAATTGCATAACTTCATTGAGCTTTAGGTACCGTACATTTGGTGCAATGCTATGCTCACGACAGTGGGGGCGTGGTGCTTGTGAACGAGGTTTAGTTGGACCACGATTGCAGGCCGAAGTTTCGTCTTCACTTGGGCTCAAAAACACCAAAAAGTAATGTTTGAAAAATCTATGTCTTCTTACCAAAGTGTCAATATATTTTAAATGAAGAATCGGTGCAAGCTTTTTCAGCAACAAAGTACATGTTGCTAGAATGTCTGCGGTTGGGGCATAAGACACAGGTCCTGCTGGGTATCCACATGTTCAGCAAGAATGCGCGAACATTAATGCTCTCTCGCTTTGTCTATTGTCTTTTTTCACCGTAATATTCGTGCAAAAAAAGCTTAGACTAAATTTGGTCTCTAGTGCAGTGGTAAGAGGCTTAATTTGCTCTCTAGTGTGGTGGTAAGACACCGGTAAGGGCAGCTCACTGTTGCATTGGGCTGGCCTGCCCACCAGGAACACCCGCACCCCCAGACAGCACCGACCGCCTCACCGCTGCCTAAGCACAGAAAGGCATCGTAGGCGCCTTGTCATTTGAATACAATTTTTACGTTCTAATTTTGTTCAGGTTGTCATACGCCCTTAGTTCCTAACTTCTTTCTGAACAACTGCTGGGTGAAAATGGCGCCACTCAGCCTTCTCACAGTCGCCAGTGCCTCGTTCCTGTTCCTGACAAAAACCAGCGGCGCTCTAGGGACAACAACTTACAACGTTACCCTCGGTACGTTTCCCTCTATGAAACGATGCCAATTGACTGATTGGATTGCCTTTGCTGCTGACAAAGGTCTCTTGTTCTATCCACTAGAGCACTACCCCACAGACGGACTGAGCACACTAAGGATGCATCCAGCTCCTAGCCTGTACATGCTCTTCAAAACTTCTGGATAATGCAGCATGTATGCTTCAGGAACTACTGGCAAATGCCTCTCCGACATCAATGATGCTCGTCAGGCAGCTGGTCTCAGCGACCTCATCCAAGCAACAACAGCCAACACGCTGCCTGCAGGAGGAAACCTCTCGGGAACATATTCGCAATGGGTCTGGTATCCCGTCTGTGAAACCCTGCTTACAGTAAGTTATTTACCTGTCGAGCGCCCTCTACTTACATCCTACTCCATGTGCAAATTACCTTACCCCTTGACGTTGCTTGCCCTTTCTCTTGCTGTTTCCAGAAGAAATCAGTTACTACTATAGACAATTCGGTTAAAGCTCAGTTTGTTAGCGGCACATACGCCTTCTACCTGGCCGATTCTGATACCATCGACTGCGATCCTGTCTTGAAAAAGTGGAAGAACGCCTACAAAAACTTCGAGGGAATGCCCCCTACATACTCGGAAGGCGCTCCAGTGTACAAGAGTGACGACAATGTCTCGTTGATTGCAATGTACAATCCTTCGCCCAATGCAACTGCCGACTGCCGCGTGGTGACCTGCACGAAAACAGTAGATAGTCCATCTTCAGTAGACAAAGGCTACGCATTGATGTGCCTGACTGCGCCGGATGCGCTTAATAAGAAGGACCCCCAAAACCCCCCTTTCTCGTAAGTTGTTTTATTCCCCGTGTCCTCTCCAATCACGAGCTTTTTTTTCATTTGAGATCGTTTTGGCTTTTGGGTGTGCATTTTGCAGACAGGATCAGTGGGACAAAATCGTCTCCGCCATCAAAGGCTCCGCTTCCGGTGCTTCGCCAAGTGTGGTTGGTGTCGTGGCAGCAGTATTGGGTTTCGCTATAATGATGCTCTAAACCGTGAGCAGTGCACCCAAGAAACCGCCCTAGTGGGCTGTTGTGAGCGTGCCTGTTGCCAACCGTGCGGTGTAGCAGGAAATTAGTTCACATGCTGGAGTCAACAAAGTCTGAATTGGCACAGGACCACTCGGCAAATGGCAAGTGTGTCTAGCAATATAGTGCACGTGGATCGTTTTGTATAGAGAATGTGCTGAGGCATGGCCGATAGTATTCTGCCGATGAAGCTGTGCGCTTCGCTAGGCAGAGGAGAGCAGGCATCGTGGTGCTGCTGGATTCAGCTTACCTCTACATTAGGCTGCTCTGCAGTCAAATTCCTTTAATTTAATTTATATTAGTGTCTAAATGTGTAGTTTTTTTTTTTTTGTGCGTTGAGCAAATGTACAGTATAGGGTTGCGTAGGGCAACCAATTTTTTCAGCTGCCCTTCGCGCCTGACTAGAGCCTGACTAGAGCAGTCGTCAAATGGAATGTTGACTTGGGTATATAGTACCTTAGTCCCTAAATGTTTTTGTAACAGCCAGGCGAATATGGCACGACTCCAGCTGTGCACAGACTTTTGTGCCCCCCCTTTCTTGACGAGACCCACCGGCACTGTACGAACCGATCCAACTTACAAAGTTACCCTCGGAAGGTTTCCTCATATAAACAGTAATTCGTCGCTGCATGGACTATGTTATTTAGGACAATAGTTCCGTCTGACGCAAGCAGATCCCGTCGAGGCGAGGACCTTTGGACTGTCGGCAGAAGAGCTTCGGATCTTCAAAGAACCCCTGCCATACTGTCGCTTCATACACCGTTTATACTCCAGTGGCTTCTTTATTTCCGTCTACCTGAGCCCCATGAGGTACTTTTGGTGCTTCGCACTCCAGCGGATACGCTGCAGTAGACAGAGAGACTCGATGGCCAGGCAGCACAACTCACCAAAACATTCTAATTTGTTATCATATAAGAAAATAAGTAGTTGAAAGTTCCTGGGACGTTTTGTGGGTCCGTTAAGTGGGAACGCCAATGAGGTTGGTCACCACCAAACCCGATCGTGCCGAAGTTGCATCACCGTTTTCAGACGGACAGGCGTGAGCGCCGGGGTCGGGGATTACTCAGGGATTTATCCTCCGTCTACCCGTGAGAGAATCAATCCAAAACTAAACACAATTGCGTATATAAGAATTATTTTATTCCACTGACTGTTGTAAGCCTAGACCGGTGCCGAAACTTCCTGAATCGGTCGAACTCAAAGACGAACCGGTTGCACGGGTTTCCATAGGTTGGAGACACAGAGAAGGTTGCAAGTATCCCCAACGACGCACTTTCAAAATTAGTGTATGAAATATAATTGGAATTCATACTTTCACTGGTCCCACTTGCAATGATAAGCCGCTGCCAGCCGCGGCTGTGGTGAGGGATTGCTCTCTACGATACATGCGCTACTTGCACTCTCTGTAACCCGCCACCGACAACCACAAGGCCAGTACCCGAAAAAGCTCTGTCTCTCTATGTGTATGTGTGTGTGTGTGTGTGTGTGTGTGTGTGTGTGTGTGTGTGTGTGTGTGTGTGTGTGTGTGTGTGTGTGGTTTTTCATTGTGACAATAAGCAGTCTGGCGAGTGTAATTTGGAATTTTTCTATCTAGGAAGCACTGGACGGATCGCATTCAGCATTCATCCGGGGAACTCCAACATTGATTGGAAACAATGGCAGCCCTGTGTCTGCTCACGGTCCTTAGTGCCGCCCTGGTCGTCGTATCTAGAGAAAATGTGGGCGTTTCTGCCACGATAACAACAAAATACAAGGTCACACTCGGTAAGTTGGCTAATTGCTGGTGCTGTGTGGAGTTTGATGCTGCCGGTGGTTGCTCCTCGCAACATTCAACCGCCTGCTGCTGTGAGCTGCAGACACTGCACTTCGTTGTTCCAGAAAATGCCTTTTAAGCAAATTGTGGTTGTTCCAGAAAATGCCTTTTAAGAAAATTGTGGTTCACTTTAAGGTTTTATGGTTCTTCTGGTTCTTACCTCTGGATGCAGGAAACGATGCTGTATGCCTGCCCGATATCAACAAGGCTCGTCAGAAGGCCGGTCTCAATGATTTAGTACAAGCTAAACAGGGAGGCACAACAACAAGGCTGCCTCAAGCTGGAGAAGAAATTACATCAGACTACGACAACTGGGTTTGGAAACCCGTGTGCAATGGCTTCTTTCAAGTACTTTATTTACTTTTTAACCCATTGCCTCCGTAGGCTATGCTCCGCCCTTCAATCACAAATGCACTCCATCGCTGTTTTGGTGTCTTCAGGAACAAAGTAAGAAAACGGCATCCGATCCTACTGCCTTCAAGAGTGGCACATACGCGTACCAGGTCGTCGATCCCCACTCCGTAAACTGCGATACTGTAGTAGATAAATGGAAAGACGCATACACAAACTTCGACGGGGTGCCTCCAGCATACAAGGACAATAAAACGTTGTATAGCAATCCTAATAACGTCTCTCTCGTGGCCATGTACAACCCTTCAGATAACGCTAGTGCTGACTGCAGAGTTGTCACCTGCACCAAGACGGTAACAGATGACGCCACAGAGGACCCCACAAAAATAACCGAAGGCTCTGCTTTGATTTGCTTGACGGCGCCCGCTGCTCTTGACAAAACGAGAGCAACTGGCCCTTTCACGTGAGCCTTTTGAAGTCAGCGTGCTCCGTCATTTTCTTTGGGCGTCCTTTGCATGGCAATTTGTCGCTGTGTCTCTATGCCTTCTGCAGAAAGGATCAATGGGGGCGAATCGTCGAAGCTATCGAAGGTTCCGCCCCGTCCGTCGTACCAAGTGTGCTCGGTCTTGTCACAGCCCTCCTTGGCGTCATGGTAGCGGTGTGAGGTCTCGACTTCACCCCTGAATTCAGCCCAACCTCTATGAGTCGGTAGGCGTGCCTCAGTGCCTGTGCAGCAGTGCTCACGGCCACAGGTGGAAGCAACAACCCGATGGACTCGTCTAGCTGTCGGCAACACTCCGCGTAATACTGAATGGGAATCCGCGGATGCGGAACTGTGACCGTGCATGTACTAGACACGCGTCGAAACAGTTTCAGACTGTTAGCAGCACCCCTTCGATTGAAAACTACAAAACGGCCGACGACAGCCTCGTTGAATATTTGGCTGGAACTGTTGCTTAATTCCATTTAAAGCAGACCAGGGAAAAGGGCAAGTACGAGCAGCTCGAACCTTTTGTAGTGTTTCCTGATGTTTAGAAGCTTAGATATTCCTCCCCGGAGGAGGTGTCCTTTCCGTGAGTGTTCGTCTTTCTTTGAATCAAACAGGCTTAAAAAGGCTTTCAAACACCCGTTCCTGACTTAAACTATTGATTATTCTCCTTTGTAGATATTGTAACGAATTGATGCGTTCATAGACGTATCGCTCATTAGACACGCTGCCCTGAGGTGTATACACATAGTAGATGCTTGTGCACACTGCAGCCATGCTGAACTACTGCCTTGTAATGCAGCTTCGCCTGCTAGTGCCATCTGAAAATGATCCTCTCTACATTTACAGTAATGATTGCAAGTAACTGCAAGTAACTGTAGAATACGCTGAGTTTCCTAGACACGGCGGGACCCGAACTAAGGTTTTCTGTACGATGTGCTAGACATAAAACCGGGAGAACCCGTGAATGGACCTACGTAAGCTAAAAGTCAAGTATGCTTCCTATTTTCAAAACAGAGGATTGATTCATTGGCGATCTATCAGGCCTTGCGAGTCCCAGGTTGTCTGGCACACGTGGCAAGACGCTCTCGCGCACTTCCTGCGAGACAACTGAGCAGAGCCGACAGTAATGCATTCTCAGCGATGGGACACGGACAACGAATGCCTGCTTGTAACAATATTTATAGGGAATTTTAACAGCAGTGGCCTGCCTTTTCCGGCTCACGGTGCCTTACACCTCCTTCTGAGGGATTGATGCTCTGGAGAGCATATATATTTGAGAAGTATCCTCCTCGATTACAGGATTACAGGAAACTGCAGCGCAAGACGTGTCCTTGAGTACCAAAGGCATATGTACACAGCGCAGCATGTCATCCTTACTCCAAAAATTTATTTGGTCTTTTGCTCATTTGACATCGAGTTGAATGCCTCACAGAAGTCATTGCTGCTCGCAAGCCAATTCGTTCTGCCAAACTGGCGGAAACTGGCTCCAACGATGCAGCAAAAACGCTGCATACCGAAAGCGGAGGGGTGATGCAAACAGGCACATGTGTCTAGGCGTATTTGCCTGTATGCAAGGCCTTGATACCAATGAGTTCGTAGTATATCGCAGGCAAACTTTCTCGTGAGCCACCACAGCTGCCACTAGACATTCCTGCGTCTTTCAGGGAGGGGTTAAGGGCACCCCTTCGCCAAAAGGAATTGCTGAAACTCTGGAGTGTAGCACAGACGCATGCAGGGTACTTCCGCCTGCCATGGTACAGTGGCCAAGTGGAGTGGAGCTTACAATAGCCTCATTGGGCTGTCCCACCCAAATTACTCCACTAAAATTTACGAAATGGTCGGCAATGCATCGTTCGTGACCGTGTACCACCCGTCACCAGCTGGCAGGCACTCTGGCACGGCGTTACCTGTACTCAAAAACTAAAATGCACGGACCCACAAAGCGGAGTTGGCTATGCATTGATTTGCATGAAGACGCTTGATGGGCAGTGGACAACATCGTTCCATCTGCATGAGCCCCTCAGAAACGTGAAACGATTCGTGTTGGATTGACGAAGGCATTTTCTTTGTTTCAGAACGGTTTCCTCACGTGGGAGGTACTTATTTATCGCTTGCGTGTTTTGCAGAAAAGAACAGCGGCCGTTTGACAGGGTTTCCCTCTTCGCTGTTGCCCAGTGTGCTCTGTTTCACTATGCAGCGCTCGCCGTTGCTGTGGCGATTTTGTGAGAGTGCCTCAGACTCCCTCAGCACTTGACTTGCCGTTATAACGCATGCACTCCAGATATGTGAATAGTGGGTTGGGGTTAGCTTATGTGTTTTCTTTCTCTTTCCTTTCCCTAGGGACCAACAATGTATAATTTGGTCCTCTAGGAGTAGTCCCGATATGGGAGCAAACGGGTCCAGCATCCAAAATACTCGTGAAGGGTACTCAGCGAGCGAAGGCCACCTGACAACGGCTGTAGCTGGAATTTTTTGCAATGCTCTAGGCCTCCAGTCTTCGTTGCCCGGCATTTTGAGGGGCACTATGACGGGCATTACGCGTCCTAGCTGATGAAGTTGGCCGCTCGATTTCCAAGAAGGAAGCTGCTTCAAAAATGCCTAATAGAGCACTTGAGCACAGGAACCAGTGGCCAGATACATTCAACGTAAGTCACGTCTCTAGTTTGCCCGATGTGAAGGGTTGTGGGGTTCTGGAGGCTGTAAAACTACATACTAAAATTTCTACTTGTAAAATAGACTGACGAGATGATTTGGTTGGGAATCAACGCAGTACCTACTTCATTTACCTGATCAACTGCTTGCTTGTTGCGTGCATAACAGGAACAGGACGTGTTGCACCGCAGACCACACGGTGAAGCCTGTAGCCTCGATACCCACTGGGGTATGTGGTATTTCATTTGGACGACAGTACCTACCATAACCCCTTATCAAATTATTCTTAATACAAATTTCCCCTTGAAGTCCTACGCTTACCAGTGCATAATGGCGGCTCTCCGATCGCTTGCATTCCTCGGTGCTTCGGTCCTTGCCTTGGGGAAGGCCAACGGGGTAGAGACGATTAATTACACTGTGAAGCTCGGTATGCTGCTTAATCATAGGGGTTGCACAAATTTAAAGTGTATGTATAGCCTTTTGAAGTGTCTCAGAGCCCACAACCTAGGGTCATCTGTGTTCATCGACGAGCCAACGAATGCTGCCGGGCCACTCTGTTCTGTTTTCTTTGATTGTAGAGAAAGTGGGTGAGTGTCTCACCGATATCAATACTGCCCGCGATGCAGTTGGGTTCATCAGTTTCGTACAAGTTGGTGTCGACGAAGAAGGGAAGTCCCTGCCAGATGCAGTTGCATCTACGGCTGAAACGAATTTCAAGACATCAGCATGGAAGCCCGTCTGCGACTCACTTCTAGGTGTAAGCTTTTAATTTTTTGACTGTATGTGTAGCAGGTGGTTTGGAACGCTCGTGAAGTTTTCACTAAGACCCTTTGACTGTCGTGCTGCCCTCAGAAATCTAGCACTGACGCACCGGGTGCTAGTGCTTCTACACCCGCTAAATTCCCCAGCGGGACGTATGCATTCAAGGCCCTGGAGTCCAACAGCCCAACATGCAGCGATATAGTAGGTGAGTGGAAGGCAGCCTACAAGAACTTCAAGGGACTTCCGCCCCCAAACAAGGACACAAAGCTGTATGACGACCGGAACAACGTGTCTTTCGTGGCCGTATACAACCCCTCTCCCGACGCTACTGCAGACTGCCGAGTTGTTACCTGCATCAAAGAAACCACAAATACAGAACTTCAGCCACAAACCAAAAATACCGAGGCGGGCTATGCTCTGATCTGCATGACTACGCCTGATGTGCTTCCGCAAAACAGCACAGCGCCATTCACGTGAGCCTTTCCTCCACAGAATCCTTGTGCTAGTTTTCCTTTTGGACAAATTTGACACAGTGATTTCATTCTATGTTTACGTGCGTTCTGCAGAGACGAGCAATGGGCGAAGATCACCAAAGCCCTCGGGGGTTCAGCCTCGGCCGCCGTGCCAGGTCTCCTCGGTTTTGCGACTGCACTCTTTGGTCTCGCTTTATCGTTGTTCTAAGGCTGTTTGAGTCCTATGTGCCATACAGGAGCTCTTTTGTCTCGTGCTGGATTTGCGCCTACCAAAGTAGGAATGGAACCAGGCAGCGCGTTGAGCAGGACACTGCAAAATTGGGCAACAAGCTGATGCGACAGCACCCAATGGACACCTTAGGAAGAATGGGAAGGGGAAGTAAACGGAGACCGGTGTGGATTGTTAATGGCGGTGCAGCAAAGCGAATGATAGTGGTCAATTCTTGTTGGCAAATTGAGAGAGCAAAGGCCTGTATCGTTGCAGTCGAGTACACGGCTGAACAAGTTCCGTGTGCGAGCGCAATAAACAAGATTCTGTTGAGCCAAATATGCAACCATTTCGCGCTGTTTTGCACTCTAGTGTAGTGGCCAAAGCAGAATCCGTAGTCTGCCAGGAGGAGAAGGCAGCGTTCTGCAGAACCTGTGGAGAGGCTAAGAGCCGCAGTGAGCTTAGCCCTAACTTGAAGTGGAATCCCTTTGTAAACTGCAGGTAATTTGTATATACAGAAGTGAAAACAAACCCTCGTAGCTGCCAGGGAAGGTCGCGCACCACATGACTGTCCGCCTGACAGACATTGCAGTTCGAGGTAGAAACAGCCATGAACTGCATGCAGCAACGAGAGCGCCTCCTTCACTGTCCTATAATACATTTTAGTCGAAACGATAAACCACTGCCGAATCCCTAGCTGCAAAAGAAGCATTACAACAACGCTTGTACAGCAGCATGACGCAACGCACAACGCAGATACGCATCCCAAACGAGCACTTTATTGTCAGAAAGTTCCATCGAACCAGGACGATTGTAGCGACAACTACGCCATTCGCCTAGCCAATGGTTTATTTGCCACTACTGTGTTGTTCGCAAAGGAGGATATGACCGAATCATGCACCCCTTTCCAGTGGCTCTGCCCCTTTTGACATATTGATTTTTTCCATGGATAACGTTGCGTTGTCGTGGCAGTGCTTCGATCAGTTGAAAATTACTGTTCTTCAAACTGGTCATGTAACCCGTAACCACATCCATACTCAAGATAGGAATGCTCATGGCAGATAGGCAGTTAAATTACTCAAGCACCCTCTCAAGGCAGGGACAATCCACTGCCTTGAGCTGGGAAGCGGCCAGCGCGCTTGACAAAGTCGAGACATCCTCAAACAAACCATGCCACCCTTAAATGCACGTTGGCTTCTGTGGACGGTCCCGCGTGTCTATCTCGGGCCGGCACCGTCATTTCCACTAAATCGCCTCAGAAGTGATCATTATGCATTCATATAAGGAGTTTGGCCCCATAGGCACGTGTTCTGCATTGCGCCGAATAACGCTGGAGCAAATAACCTTAGACTGGGATCCGCGTCAGCTGCCTGCTTGTGGCAGCCATGTGGGACATATAGGAGGCACAATCAACTATTTGCAGGACCTCACATGTTGTTTTTGTAGTTTGATGGATTTTATGGTAGGTAAAACTCCGCTCGATCTACAAGCAAGTGTTCCGCCGCTCGGACACGAATCGGCAGCGTCCATAGTGTAGCGCGGGCTAACACTTGCTCACAAAGTTTGCGATAGACCTGTATTCAGACATTCAACTAATCAAAAAAATCTAAAAGTGCAAAAGTCCTTTTAGTAATCCGTGGATTGTGGCAAGAAAAGAATTGTACGGCTTTTTTATTCAGTAGGTGGGTGGTCTGGTCACCCGGCCAGGGGAACCCCTTGCGGTACCCACCTCGCCCTCGGCTGCGACATCATAGGTTTACTCAAAGGTGAAGTTCAAGATTGCGCCTAACTTGTCATACCATAAAACCGGAATCTTACTCCTAAAATAGTCAGGGTTATAAAGCCAATACACAAGCTGTAGATGATTGCTCATACCAGTTGACCAGTTGCAGCTCAGTTCTTTGAATGTCATAAAAGCTGCAGGACTGTGCGTGCAAGATATTGAGCCAACATGGATTCCATTTCTTGAGCTTCGGTTGTCTTCATGAGTAGGCAGAGGAACGCATCCCCAGTGCAAGCAAATTACCAGTACTTTCCCCAAGCATAGTATCGTGAATAAATGTAGCCAGGCCCTCTTGCCAGTTTGATACCTCGTATCATTTAATTTGGTACGCACCTCTGGCCCTCCCGACATCTTTGCAGCGTAGTTATTTCGTTGCTACGCAGTCTCTTCTAGGTTGGCAGCCGAAAATTAACTCAGCCATAGTAGACAACCGGCTCACAAACACAAGTTTTCAACAATATTCTACCTTGTTAGTGCATCCAGAACAAAAGCCGCGTTTGTAGTTGCATGTGGGGATGTCTAACACTAGACTAGTTGAATTACACCAAGGATCAGTTGGTTGAAGCCTCTCCAGACGCTTGGGCCGGTGGGACCAGGGCACCTGGAGACTGGTGAAGGCTGTCCGTTGCTCCTAAGAAACTCTTATCTTCAGTGCTTTGGCTGCATTGCAGCTTGAAGCCGTCTTTGAAGAACATCGGTGGCCCTCCACCCAGTCGGTTTGTTGCTGGCACCTCCCCTCATGAGTCATACGTTGGTACAACGCGTAGAGATGTTCCTTGATTTTAGCGACCTAGCGAGCTTCAAAAAGGCTCAAAAGCACAAGGTAAGGATCCCCACAAGATGCTAGCATGCCCTCCAGACCCCCAGAACTTCTGCTGCTGCAACTGCTGCTCACAGAGGTTCGAAGGGGCCTAAGGCTTTTCGCTGAGAGGTGCCCTGTCATCGGTTGGAGCGCAACCGTGCTGCAGCTAGCCCTCATTGGGGCAAAAACCAATGTTGCTTTGTTTCTTTAACTGGAAGCGTGGACAGCTGCTGAACGTTTAAGTCGTTCACATAAGGACGGCTTCATGCAAGTAAAAATCCGTGTTACAACGTCGGTCAGAGTGTGCTACAATGCCCAGCTGCATCGCAACTACTGTCTCTGATTCTTATGTACCGCAATTCTACTTGGGTGCGGATGGTGGACGCCTCTTCATTCTGACAGCTGCACAATAGTGAACGAGACTGAAGTTTAGCAACATGCAGACTCTCCGGTCCACTCAAGCCCCTGTAGGTCTCTTAACTCACACGAAGATGTAGCTGCATTTCCGTGTGTCTACAAGGAGTTGCTGGGCAGCTCCAACAGTATTCTCTGGGGTCTCCCGCTCGCCGCCAGTTAAATTTTAGATATATTGACAGCCAAATTATTTAAAATGATCGATGCATTTAACCCAATTCCGCTTGTGTGAGCGCCGAGGACTTCAAGAGTCCCCTGTGAGAATTTGGAGAGCACGCATCGCTGGACTTCCCTCCTTGCTCCCCCTGAGTTTTGTACTTACTCCCCCCCCCAATAAAGTCATCCTACATGTCATTATCTGCAGAAATACACTGTGTGGTAAGTGCCTCGTGCTTGTGGGCAGGGCACGTAAACTTTGTCACCATCTCGTTGCTGGGCAGAAAAACGGTAAGAAGACGTCGCGTTGGTCCAATTCTCTAAACAAGGGCAGAAACCAAGATGAAGCCAGAAAAGAACCATTACGAGCATTCTTCACATATAAATATTGTTTGAAAGTTCTGTAAGGAACTAAATTCATCCTAGATATGGAGCACCTGCCCTCTTCGCCTAGCCTGAATGGGCTGCTCCCCGGTCCAGTCCGTATGGAGGATCGCCTCTAAATACTGTCCACTGCACACAGAATTATTATTTTTGAGCTTTCCTATGCTTTTCTAGTTTATGTGGTACCTTGAGGGGTTAAAAGCGAGTGCCCACCGGCTGAATCTGAGCGATTGCAAACTCCGCGGTTCGGACAGTCCACTTCGATGCACTGGACACGGAGTGATTCCCCTATTTCGTCATTTGAATATACCTGGTTTGTAGTAAATCTTGACTTCAATTTGCCCGAATTATTAATTAGGAGTTGTGTTATTCGTAGACTTTATCTAGCCTCACTCAACTCAACGACTCCTGTACCTAGCAGCATGCCGACAGGTGTAGCCTTCTCCCGTCTCTATGTCTCATTGCGTCACCGGCTACCACGGCTTTGCGGAAGGCAGTAGCATTGCCTCAGCTTGACAGACATACAAGTTTTGTTTTGCATTCTGTGCACAGCCTCATTTTTCTTAGGCCTCAGTTTAAAACGTCTATTCGGGGAAAATGGCACATGTCAAATTACTCCCCCTTCTTGGAGCAGCGCTCTTCGTTTTGGGCAACTCAGCTCAGGGTAACGCCGCATCGCCAGGACAAGGAACCAGCACCGCCTACAGCGTGACGCTTGGTGAGTATGTTGCTTTTTATGGCGTTGGCCAGTATGCCTGAAGTGAAGGAGCCGTTGCGATTGTTAGGGAAGGACTGGGGTAGGGGAGAGTGGTGGAAGGGTTGACGGAGGTTGGTAAACCGCTTGCTCAGGTTCCTTCTGGCAGGCAGAGGCTGGAATGATGGGCTTGTATTCCACTTCTATTGCTTATCATGTGGAGCAGAGGGTGGCTTCCGGACTGTGTTGTGCGTTCTCTTGTCTGCAGAGCAGGATGGCGTCTGCCTTTCCGACATTGACGGTGTGCGTGAGAAAGCAGGATTCGGCAAGTTCGCACGCCCTACTGAGCCTACGAAGCAGCTCCCTACAAACGATAATACAGGGAAGCAGTGGGACCGTTTCTGTCAAGATGTGCTGGTGAGCCGTTGAAGATTGAATGCGTTACAGGCAGACAGGCATGCAGGAACTTGTGCATTTCCGTTTTTCTGTCTTTTTACACCTCAGGCTGACAAGGGATCGAAGACATCGGTGTCGTCCGGCGATGATGGAGCCACCAGTGCTATGTATAGCATGATGGTGTTAAGCTCCAGCAAGGTGGACTGCAGTGCTGTTGTGGACCACTGGAAAGCAGCAAACAAGAACTTCACGGGAATTCCACCGGCACCTGAGAAATCGTCCGGCTTGTACGAGAATGCTGATAATGTCATGTTTATATCGTTATTTACCCCTTCAGCTGGAGCCACAGCGGACTGTCGGGTGGTGACATGTACCGAAACTACCACTGTTACTGAAACACAGAAGAAAACGGAAAGGAAGGGCTACGCCTTCTTATGCATGACGACGCCTAATATATTGGGTGACGGGACGAAGCAACCTTTCACGTAAGGGATGTCACTGCGTACCCAGTGGTTAGCCTTTCTCCCCTGACTATACAGACTGTTGGTGATTTCAACAACATGGTATGTATGTCTTTGTTGGCTGTGCAGGAAAGATGAGTGGGAAAAGATATCGGCTGTTTTCAAGGCTTCCGCGCAGGCTGTCGTACCTAGCGTATTCTTTGTTCTCTTGGTAGCACTTGGGGGGATTCTTCTCTAGCATAGCAGTGTAACGGGCCTTACATGCAGAGGGCGCATACCAAGGTCGCGCGTCTCTCCCATGGTGCAGAGTACGAACAGGTCGAATGAATGAATATACTCGTAGTTTGCATCGTTACAGCAGGGAGGAGACCTGTTTTGTCGTATTTCTCTGGACACGGCTTTCATAGTCGTCCGCCCTAGTGTGGTGCAGTATATGAGAGAAAGTAACCATTAGTTTACGACGGAGCACTGCCACGACCTCACGGGGCATCGCCAGCAGCGACCGCCGCCACGCCGAGCTGGCGAGTTAACTGGGAAGCTTCGACAGTCCAGAGAACATGGAGAAAGTCCAGGCATTCGATAGCTAGCTACTGCGGCCTTTCGTTTTAACTTTGTATATGTAGGTGTCGAGCTGTAGTTATTTGAGTACGAACAGTGCTGCTAGGAGGTCCTTCCATGTGTGTATGTGGGGAGCGGAAGTGAGGGGGTGAAACAGCTGGACGATCTGTTCCAGTTTTTCGTGGGTAGGTGGTTGTTGTATGAGCCCTCGATGCACGAAACAACAGAAAGGGGGTCGAGGTCGGGGTTCTAGCGTGTAGGTTGTGAAGGAAGGGATTCCGACGAACTACCAAGAAAAAGTGCCGTTTAGACGACAGGTAGTGTATACCTTTGCAATAAAGAGTTGGTGCAAGATTGAGGGTTAGGGTCCGCACAGAACGGAGCAAACAAGCAAATACATGCATTGCAGGCAATTTTCGAGACTCCAAATTTTAGTTTAGAGCTTATAAATGATTGAAGCTGCCAGCTGTGGAGGTGAGAAGGTCAGATGTGGATTAGTGACACGCCTCATGGAGCCACCCGTTACCGTTTATCTACCACTCCGTTGAGCCTCAAATGGACAGTGCACCGTACTGCAATGTCGCAGCTTTGGAATTGCTATAGCTGACGACCAAATCGGCAACACTGTTCACGGGACGACGCTTAATATCCACAACATTCTGCTGTTCTCCAGGAGACACTAGCCCCCCAGACTTCGTTGCACAGTAATGCGCGTTGCCAAGAAACACAATTTTAGAAGACGTTTGTAGGAACAATTCCTGTGATGGAATTACTTGGTGGCTGTTGACGGTCAGGTTCGCGCCTAAGGCCAGTGTACCCATCCGCTACTTTACGGCTGTGGCTGCAAGTTCTCGTCCTCGCTGGGCTTTACGCAATAGGTAACATATCCAGTGTGCCCCTTCATTGGCAGTTGGTAGTGATAGCTACTGATGCGTGACGGTTCCGCAGAGTGTATTTCTGAGGGTTTCTTAGGTGGGCTTGGCGCCACATCGCCAAGCGCGCTTAAATCCGCACTGCACCAGCTGGCAGACTGTGAGGAAGGCTGTTGCAAGAAATGAGATAGAAGGGCGGGAAATGAGGTAGCTGTTTGTCTCTGGCCGTCTTGTCGCTCCTGAGCGTCCCCATAGACTTCTTCCTCGGGTTGCCGCTGGGATGATGCATCGCGTTTCCTCTTCGGATTCTCGTTTTTCTTTTGGTCCGGTGCTGGGCGAGATATGCAGGCACCCCAGGGCTTGGCAAGAATCTCAAAAGCCTCAAAGTCTGTGGTTATAAGCCAAATCACACCACAAGAGGATATGCAAGAGCGCACTGAAAGAACAGGGTGCAGCAGTCAACTACGAAGCGTGAGTATGCGACGATGGTATTAACACAGTTGCTGTATTAACACAGTTGCTACTGCACACTGGAGGGCGCACCACGCACTACAAAGACGGTTCCTGGCTTCTCCTCGCAGCTAGTGGGGCGTGAAAAGTGCAACGAGGGAATAATATATTAAATTGACCCTCAGATGGCTTTATGTAGCATCCTGTAATTTATTTACCAACGACCTACCCTGAAAACCTAGTTCCTGCGCTGCTGCGAAGGTCTTGTGTAACTGTTCCACACAGGGAGAGAAGGTTACCAGGCGGCCTCCCCCCTGTGAAACAAAACGGACAAGAACCTGGCTACTCCACAAGACTCTGCTATGCTGTGAACAGTACAAATCGCCGCGTCGCTCTATCACTACAAAGCTTTGTTACTTCCACGGGGAAATGCACGCCGCGCCGTACCTTGAGAACCTTGTCCGCATGTTTCAGTGCAAGCCACGGCGAAGGCAGGTCAAGAAATACTCCGTCAGCTATATGAGGCGCCGGCAAATTCTCCTCGTTGTTCTGTGCTGCCTCTTGAGGTAGTTCGGATGACGCGCGTGTTGCTGCACGCACTCGCTGCGGGCAGAATCCACCGGCGCATACGTCTCGGTGGTTGGCCTGAACTTCTCTCGAAATCCCAAGGACATTAAATTCCTCTCTGAACCAAAACGCAGAATACACTAAACAAAACAAGTGGGGAGGCATATGACTGCACACCCTGGAAGCATTTGTGTCCCGATGGTTGGAACCCCACCGCACACAAGGGGCATTTACAAGGATGCAGAGCGCAACAAATGAAATGAGCAGCGTGGGAGCCATGAGCATACTGCTGCTTTTTCACCAAGGTGGATGTGGAAATACATTCGGTGCCTACGAAACGAACACCTAGCTTCCTCACCGCGCTTCCTGCCATCGTTGCTCGTGAAACTCAAAGGTGAACAAACGGCCTCCCGGACGCAGCGCCATGGCTAAAGAATACGACAGAGACCCAGATCCTGTTCCTAAACACAGACCCAGGCCAATGTTTGCTTTTTGCATTTCAAAGCCACCGTTTCACGGTGGAAGAGGGCGCATGTCGAGATTGCTGCACGAATGTGCCTTGACTTCGCGATACACGAAATCTGACGAAAGTGGCCATAGCGGTGAAGGAGATGCAGACGGAACTCTTGTACTCAATTCAGTAGTCACTGCAAGGAGTAGTTATCCGCCAAGAACAGCAGTAAAACAACGCAATTACCTGCTTCAACGATAGTTTTGCCGGGACGTACATCCAGAAGGCTCAAAATCAGCGATATGTCCGCATGATACTGCACGCACATTCAAGAATCCCAGTCACAGAGTTCCCTTGCCGCCTGCTTAGACAAACGGAACAATCGTGGCCCTTAGCAACTCAAAGATGCGAAGCATCGTATTGCCCCTACCAACTCAGAGGCGATGGTAGTGGAACCTTCATAGATATATGCATCATAGACACGTGTATGCACAAGTAAGTCGACGGGCAAGCCTCTAAACGAAATGGCTTAAACTGCCTTGTTACACTCACAATGATTTGCGTCCTATGCCGAAGAGCCAATGTGTGTAAGTCTGGGGTGGGGCGCAGCACCACCAACCACTTTCCCTGACGTTGTTCGTAAACCTAGGCCATTCATAGACAAATAGGACCAAATTATTTTAATCACCTTAGAGATGACGGCAAAAACGCCTCAATTGCAATGCATACGCAGATATGGCTGTTGCGCCCTTGGACACATGTAGGCCTGCGCAAGACCCTAAACTAATTGACTCAATCAACAGCGTTGAATGATTTTGAGCATACGAGAGAAGTGTATGTTTTGCATGAGGGTCAGGAGCAAGGAGGGATGAAATGGAAACGGCGGACGGCGGAAGGGGCCCAATACGAAATACATCAGCCACAATCGCGAAGACGGCGGTGGCTGTTTCAGCTGCGCTTACAGACACGTCTGGGGTAGGGACAATTGTGATGATAGCCTTACTTTATGTCCTATGCGCGTTTTCATGATATCTTCATGGCTAAAATTTCCGAGTCGCGTTCGGAGAATTCCAGCCCTCTTCAGCACGCAAGAAATGATCATTTCCCTCGAACCATAGAGGATCACCAGCTCCCCTTCCTTCGGGAACTCTTCTGACTGCTGCAAGTGTGCGCTCAGCTGAAAAGCAGATTCTTCAGCCTCTACGAACACCCCGAATGGTGGGGCGAGGCCCCTAGGGGCGATCTCTGCCATTGCAGCTGTGCCCGGTGAACCAGAAGTTCTCCATCCAATCTGGACAACGATTCTTTGACCAGACTGTGTAAGTATGACGCGCACGTCAGCTGCAAAAAATACTCTGGAATCTACGAATCCGATCCTTTGTCCCCTACGGCTAGAGGGCCCCTGACCTTAGAGGAGCCCTGGCCCTTGAATCGTCCAGCAAGGAGGTGGACGAGATGTACAAGAGTCTGGGTAATACCAAAAATACTCATTTCTTGTCCTTCAGCTAACATTGTTGATGCTTTCGACGGGCACCGGCTTCTATTCGCGCCCCACACGAAGGGCCCTGTGCAGCCCGGGCTCCACAGTACAACTGCAGCTATGAAAACAAGTATTGCTATCCTTGTTTTCACAGCTGCAGTTGTCATACCTTAGAAGAATGTGTTGTCGCAAACTAAATTCCAACATATCAATTATATAACGAGGGTTTTTGTGCGTAGCTTTGCTGATCAAGCGCTCATGTCTAGATCAACCAGGAGCGCAGCGGCGGGTCAAAAAACCCATGTTTCACAGTACGCGCTAGCCATCATATCCGCTGAAAAATTTTCTTCTGGCTGTTCAAAATATTGTTCATGTGCAGTTATGGCCTAATTATGATTATTCACGAAGCTAAACATTGGTAGGCACACACGCACATAGCTAGCAAAAAATGGTCCATTACGCGAATATTCCCAACTACTGCTGCTAAATAAGGGACCATTTATTCGGAACCATCAACCAGACCGAATAAATAGTCATCATGAAGCCGGATTTCTCCCAATCTGTGTTTCCAGGCAAAACCTGCAGTTTCCACTGTTTCTGTTATCACTTTTAATTCGTCTTCTGGTGGCTTGCGCTATAGGTGACGACCTTTATCAACAGCCTTCTAATGCAAATTCTTTCTCGCTATAAATGTTCACGCAAGCATTTCCGAGCCATTCTCCGCTGCTAGTAGGGACCCAGGTGGATATAACACACACGGGGTTTCAGCAGTTTCGCAGATATTGCTGCAAATCCTTCGGACAGGTCTTGCGCTGTCACGGCACGCCATGCAAGCGTTGCTGCAACGGCATAAATGGGCAGTCAACGAAGGGAAAGTGCAAGCGAACGTTGGTGTTATCACTCATTTTGCACTCAGGGGGGGAATGCGGGTTTATAGGGTTTAGGGTTTAGACTTACGAATATTCTTACGGACACCAATGGCTCAACAGCAGCAGCAGAACTAACAGCAACAGCAACAGCAGGAGGTGTGTGTTATATTATTGGTGTCTGTGTTGGTACAGAATAATACATTAAATATTCAGCAATTTAATTATAGTCCTCATCCTTATCATCTCCCTAATTTTATGGATATATTTACTTGGTCTATACGTTTTGTATCCGGAGAGGTAAACCCTAAACCCTAAACACTTAAGTGCAACTACCATACAGAATGATAAAGATCAAAGGCCAATCATAATCACAGATAAGATGTGGATGTGAACGTGATTACTTGTTGCTGCCGCGGCGTTGTCTGACAAGGTGGAAAAATTGGTGAACGAAGTGACTATGCTTCTACTTGCGCGTTATAAAATATTTGTGTAGCTAGGGGAAGATGCCGCCCTCTTTGCTGGCACTGATACACTGGGCCCTTTAAACGAGGCGTTTTTGCTCGTTCCCTGATCTGGAAACCCCCCTGTGGTTCACCCTATCAAAGGCTTTTGCTTCAATATGGCGACAAGCCTGTTCCCCAAGCCACGCAAAAGAGATTCTGCGCTTGTATCAGGGAAGCTCGTCAACCACCTGATAAACAATTGTGCACTGGCCCACCTCGACACTGCAGTTATTAATCGACAATGTTCTCGCAGTTCGCAGGCCGTCCACTGCAAGCAATGAGGTTCGTACTGGATCATTGGAAAGTCCATGTGGATGTCGATAAATTAAGGAAGTCATTCTAACGATTGCAGGAATATAGTTTATGGAAAGAGCAAAGCAACGGGGACTCTGTGAACTACTCGTTGAAAGGAGCAGCGCGAACAGGTGAGCCCCTTCATGCAAACGTTATATGGCGATCATCCTCTCCAGTAGCTGCTCAGTTCTGGACTAGGGCTATCCCAGTTTGTGCTCATACTCGGCCGCATATCCACTAGCTTCACCAACTAAAGCTTACAAGGCAAAATTTATCAGCAGGGCACCCGCCAGTCAGTGTGGATTTTTGCCACTTATCTGATCACTGGAGCAATGCAGCAAACAATGTTGATCGAGAAATGTCAGCCTCTAAGCCTCCACAGAATAGTCTCTGAAGCTTGCTCAGACACTCAGATTGGCTTCACATGCAAAAGCCTGCACAGATGACACTGCGAAAATGCCGGGCCTTGATGCACTTGCGAGTTTGTGAACATCATGTATGCTCTCAAAGCATGGCAATGCTGAGCACTGTCATTGCGATTACAATAAAGCTTGGGAAGGCGACAGCTGCGGAGCCTGTGATAGCAGCGGATATCCTGTCCCACTCTTCTTGCCTGAACAGCAGCGAAAGAGATAAAATAGAGTATGCAGACTAGGCATGGAAAAGAGACATGACAGGAGGAACAAAGCCGGGAGAACTTACGTGAAGGGAGCCTTTTGATCCCTTTCAAGTACATCAGGAAAAGTCATGCAAACGAATATGAAGGCCTGGCGGTTCGACTCTCCATCACCGGTAGCGGACTTCTGCAGTGCAGGAATCTCAGTGCATGTGACTAGTCTGCAGTCTGCAGTAGCACCGGTGGAGGGATTGTACAATGCCACAAAAGAAACGTTGAGTTTGTCCTGGTATACTGTGGCCGCATCGGTGTTTGCTGGGGGTAGTCCAGAGAAGTTTTTGAAGGCTCCCTTCCACAGGTCCACTGTGGCCTTACAGTCTACTGTACCAGAGGTTAGGATTTCAAATGCATATGTACCATCTTGGAAATCTTGAATGTCTTCTCGACTTAGGGCTTTGGTCCCAGTGGGCTGAAAGAAAGGATGAAAAAAATGTTACCGAATGCAGTGGTAACGGTGACATCGGCGTAATAATGGGGTGAAGGGGACGAGGCAGGGAATAACAAGCGTACGTTAAGCAAATCCTTGCAAAGTGGATCCCAAGCATTCGATACTGTTTCCAAAGGAAGTCGTTTCGTGGCCTCATCAGCAGTTGGCTGGATAAATTTGGCAAGTCCAGCTGCCTGTCGAGCAGTGTCGATTTCCTGCAGACATTCACCTTCTTCCCCTGAATCAACACAGCATACTCCTTTAGGATATTATTTTCACCAATCTGAATGGGCTTTGAAACTGCGACAATTGCTCTTCAGCAGGATGAAGACGATGCCGGCAAATCTTTCCGGGTGCTGTTGATCTCAGCATCCGAAGATTAACCTATGCTTGGACTTACCAAGGGTCACTCTGTACGTTGGCCCTTGACCGTTCTGACCGTTCTGAGCCATTGTTGACAGCGTTCCGGAGCCCAAGGCCAATAGGGCACCCACGACCAAAACAATCTTGGACGGTCCCATTGTAGCGGATTTGGAGCTCAAATGCCCACTTGCAAATATTGCCGACAAAATTGACATCAAACTTTGTGGAACGAGGCAAAGTATAAAGGGACACAAAAGTGACTTGCGCCGTAGAGCTAAGGTCCCACGGCGCGAGGTGCTCAGTGAGCGCAGCCTCGATAAACACACCGCAACTTAGCTAGCTATGGACGAGAGAGCAGCTGGTCAGACAGTCTTCATTGAAATGGAAAGATATGGTACTAACGCTTTTATTTATGTATTTGCACCAAATATACTGTATCCGTTGAAATACTGAGGTTGGATTTAGATGGGCAGCGGTAACACAGGTGACCACAGGTGACCTCAAACCACTGGGAAGCAGTGTGCACGGCGCCTCGTGCGAGAACATATTCACTTCACTTGTGATGTTATTTAGAGTTTTCAAGTTTCCAAAACCTTCCAACTATTGGCTACTTAATCCGATTGTCAGCACGCCCCCTCATTAGCTTTTTGGGTCAAGCTCGGGTGAATCATCGCACAGTTCGCTACCTTCCGGTCCTAGCTTCCCATGGGCTTCGTTAGAATACGATTACGGATATCCTTTCCTTACCGTTCCAACTAGAAGTTCGCATGGTCAACTGTGGGTCTGTTGCTCTATTAGAAGCGAAGTGTCTGGGTCGCTGATCTTCATTGTTGTATGCATGGCGTTCTACCTGAAATGAAGATTTGGAAGAGAGACTACACATCTATATGCCTGGCTTCCTTGCTTTTGTGTGTTTCAAAGATGTTGAGCCTTCGCTGGTTTTGGCGTGTGCATCGTCTGCGCTGAGGCCCGGTTCAGTGCGTGGTTGGCTATTTGGTGGGGTTGTTCATGCGTGACGTCAGTTTGGTTGGCGAACCGAAAGAAGAAATCGTCGACGCAGAAATTTCATTGCCTGGTTCACCGATTGCTGGCTCTGCACGTACGGGGCAGGGTGCACGCCTAAATCGAATTGCAGGTAGAGGCGAACGTGACCGGAAAAGGGTCTCTTTGCTGCAATATTGAGGAAGACATAGCCTGCGAGTGGTGGGCGTTTTGAGTCTAGTCCGGATGCTGCTTGAATACGTAGCTAGGTTGTATGGCAAGACGACCTTTTCCTGGCTTATCGCTGTCCAGAGATATGAGTGTGGATGTGCTGTACTGTTTCCCCACTCGTCTATACCTGCTCGTTTCCGAGTTACGTCCCCCACGGCGACGGTTCGCTACGGAATATTTGTCTGCCTCTCTTGGCCCAAGGGGAATATGCTAAGTTTTGAATGTTAAGGCTTCAAACGAATGTGGTGCAGGTAAACAAAATATGGCATTTATCGGCTGTCATGCGTTGTCATCGCCACGACACGTGCAATGCTTGGCGCTCCGGACAGGAAGTGCGCTTCGCTGTTAACTAGGTGAGCGCTCTTGTGTACGATGCATATCTCTTGCTGCGTTTCTGGAAAGTCCTTCATAATGCGTGTTGGGAGCGATGTTGGTGTTAGTGATCTAGCTTAGTTGTACTAGTGTCTTTGACCTAGCATAATTGCAACCATCCATCCATCTGTAATGCTTTCGTGGTGTGATGCTTGCCATTTGCTGGCATGTCTCTAATATTGGAAGGGACGACTTCTAGGTACAACCTAATTAGGAATTTCGGCACCAAAGGCCTCCGTGGGATCTATTCAGGCTGTAGGTGTCTGTGCGAGCGCGGCCTTGCGTCTGTTCGATATTCGTTAGACTGGAGTGTTCGTGTCAGCAATTTCAGAATCGCAGTAGAATTTAGTAGCTCTCTAGGGGGACACAATTTGCTTGGTTGACGCATCTCTCTGTACTACAGCCGAAATCCAACGGACGAGTCCACACTGAATATTGGTGACGCGGGAGGCTGCCAATGCCATCGTCCTGTGTTGTGTTGTCCCGTGTTGCTTTGCTGTGGTTGAATGCGCGAATACCTGTGATTCGTGGTGTGTTCGCCTGTCCGATGGAGAGAGCTTCACATTGCGATATGCGTGCTTGAATTTATCACTTGCTCGCTGCAACAGGAATCTTCAGGGTGCGGGTTGGCACTCATTTGCGGATAGCCGCATACCTGACCGGCGCAAGGCTTTATGTGCTGCATAGCATCAAAAAGCTTGGCTTGCAAACGATTTGCCATTTGAGCCAGCTCATGTTGCTTCGTGGGGTTTTAGGCTCCTTGCATGATTTGAGCTTGCTTTGGCGCTGTGCTGTTCAGGGGCATAAGCGCGGTTGAGTTGCACCGCTTGCGTACTTGTCTGTGCTGTTTAGGCTTGCAGATGCCAAGGCTGAAGTGTTGTCTCGCATATTTGTTTTCTCCTCAGCTTGAAAGCTATATTGTAGGGCTTATTATTTGGTGCTCGCAAACGATTGTATGTAGTGGGCCTTGCTTAGCACCATGGACAGAAAGTGCGGTTTGCCGATGTACAGTGGCTTGAGCTTCTTCACCGCGCGGAAGTTTCGCTCTGTTACCTAGGCTGTTTTTATTATGTGTGGACAGCAGTGGTGGTGTTCTGGATTTGTTTGAGTCGCAGTTGTGCGGTGGGAATTCTTCGAAGTGGAGTGATGATTGCCACTTGAGTTGTGCCCGGAACGCTTGCTGCGATAAGCTTCTAGCCCAACTTGCTGGTTTTCAATAATTCCCTTATTGATTAATTCTGCTTGATCTGCACAGACGGTAGGCGTTCGGGCAAGCACGCCAATGTATCGACTCTATACTTGCCGGCGTAGTGTGTCCTGGGCAACATTCTCTAGCTTACAGCTTCACCTGGAATACAATGTAATGCACTTGATCAGTCTGTCTTCTCCGCTCAAGGAGGTGTGCTATTGAGACCCTTGGAAAACTAAATTTGGGTTTGGGTGGCCCCGTGGAGTCTCTGATGAGGGGTAGATAAGGTGGTCGTACAGTGTTGCTGTGCTGATATGGGCACGTGCATCGAGAGTGGATGGAGGCGCAACTGGCTGTTCATATATAATCGCGATATGAGATGCCTTTGAGTGATCCTTTCAGGCAGTAAGCGTCAAGGCGAGTAGGACGTTGGCGAAGTATTTGGGTTACTAGATAGGGGAGCCAGAAGCCTCGAAATTCAAGTTGCATCGCCAATGCGATGAATCCTGTTTGCTGGACCCGTCTTGACCGCTAAAGGATATGCGGATGGAGGCGCAACTGGCTGTTCATATATAATCGCGATATGAGATGCCTTTGAGTGATCCCTTCAGGCAGTACGCATCAAGGCGAGTAGCACGTTGGCGAAGTATTTGGGTTACTAGATAGGGGAGCCAGAAGCCTCGAAATTCAAGTTCCATCGCCAATGCGATGAATCCTGTTTGCTGGACCCATCTTGACCACTAAATGAAATGCGCCTGCGCTCCGCCTTGGGTCTGGGGGATCCTAGGGAAGCCGAATATGAGCTTCGGGATGCTGATGCGTAAAGAGGAACTTCAGGAGGTTAACTGGTGTAGCAAAAAAGCTACGTGTTTCGGCGCCCCGTCGACGAAACGATGGGTGGTGATCTCTGGACATTCTTCCAATCTAGGCTGCGTCTCCGTCCAGCCGCCGACTGTACTGTTTCGGCATCTCTTGGTAAATCGCTTGTTTCTTTTGTGTCGTTTTAGTCTGGGTGTAATTCCTTCCTCCCGCATAGGGCTGTTATGTGTACAGTGAGTGAGCTTCCTCCCTACTCCGTTTGCCTCGCAAAAGGGGGGATGGCCCCAACGGACAATGCAATCGCCAGCGCATGAGTCAAATGGCAATTGCTTCGTCCATGTCTCTGTACTATGTGCTTCTCCAGATTCAGTGACTTACGGATCATGCTAAGAAGAAATAATAGCAAGTAGGGTGAAATTATTAATAACAAGCTTTATTATAACGCACATATATTAAGATCTAAAATGTCTTTAATTGATATACATAACAAATGTAAAACTAAATATTTTTAACCTTTACACTTTACAGAGTAAAGGTGATAGTTCAATTCTAACACTACCCTGTATTAAGTTTCGTTTACCACGTGAGTGACATGACAACGTAGATACGTGGCAGAACCTGGTCGCATCGTCCACACCAGCTTAATTAACGTTGGACGACAAATCGCACATTAACGGGGATGTAGTGATGTATCATCAGCCAGTGAGCCTGTATCCGTTTGCACAAAACGTAACGTACAGAGCCAGGGCAGCATGACCGTTGTGCAACACCGTGGTGCCAGTGGCATGCTTCATGCTCAACTGCATCGCATACATTTACTCGTTGGGAATGAACCGACTGGATGGCATGACAACATCCAAAAGACATACAGATGAGGCTTCCTCAAACTAGTTCCTCGGCTTGCAAGTCTTGAGGCTTAAACCCCGATTTTTCTCATATCAGGATAGTCAATTCACACCGCAGTTCTTCTCCACTGGTTGTGAAGATGCGCCATCACTGGCCAGGCTGTGCAGAGGCAGCGCAGGAGGGTTTGTCATCATAACAACTAGAGAAGCGGCAATTCTTTGGCACTAGTGAGCGTAGGTTAGATGCAAAAGAAAACACGAGCAAGATTTCTTCGCATGGAGATACGTACACTATTGGCATCCACATCAGAGGGTAATTGCGATGTTTCTTCACCGAAGCATGCAAGGGCAGCATTCCACTGCATGTTAATTGTGGCAATGAACGGCTCGACCCGTTGACGGCGTGTGAAAGCACATCCACACTAGGATTTGCGCTGCACCTCTCAACCGGGAAACGGGCACTCAAACCAACAAATACGGGAGTATCGAAAGCATGCCGACATATCCACACTCCTCTTCCCTACTTTATGGACAACTCCGGAACTACAAAAGCCCTTCGCCCCTTCACAAATGGCCACACCGAAACCTAGGACAGAGAGCGCCTCATTCCTCTACGTGACTCTCGGAGGACTATGACGTGGAATATGTTGGTCTTGAAGTCCTCCAAGAAAAGACACAGTGAAAGTAGTGAGTGTCGAATTTTCTGTGCGTACAGAAGAGT